CTTTTACCGAGGAGAAGAGAGGCGTTCATAAAATGCCCCCGCCGCTGTTCATCGTTGTCGTTAACGTTACGCTATCTGACAATAGGTGTGGGTATGCTGTGTTACATGGGCAATACTCGCGGTACATCTTGTATGGTAGGCAGATCCGGTGATTGACAGCATGAGCTACAATCTACGCCATGGGGGCATATGCATATAATCAGCGAGGTCACGTACTGTGAGAACTACACTTAGCGCGGCATTTGGAACCTCTTCCCCACCGGAATGCCCGCAGATTTCCAGAACATGTGAGGGTGCCAACCCCTTTGCTACGAGCCCTGTTGTCATTGCAGTACGTAATATGCTATGGAATAATTACCTGGTACGTGCATGGATACCATGAATTCAATGAATCTACTTTTCGTGTTTTCTTGTGCAAACCCCTTGTCTTGGCATACAATTAATGTTTTAGTCGTGTGTCATGTCGGTGTACACAACTGGTGCACGTTCCTACGAAACGCACATGCGACACACAGTCACGAGGGCTCAACAGCCCGCATGCGCTTACGTGTATGGGAATGACTGTGAGTGAGTAACTTTTTACACCCCTTTCAGAAATAGTCCAGCAAAATTACGCCTGGAGACAGAAATGAGGAATTGATTTACGCCAATGACAATGCACTACTGTATCTTTCTATTTATGTTTTCACCGTCACGGTTCCAAAGTGAGTAAAGCGCCTCACAAAGGCCCACAAACACTATGTTTGTTCTGAGTCCATATTGCAACCTCTTGCATTGACTCTTTGGGTGATAAATAAAGTACTGTTGGAAATAAAATAAAAACTGGGGTTTTTTCACAGTTATATCTACAATTTAGGTAGTTAATATGTGAAAGTGTGAAATATCTTTTGAATTAAGTTCGGCCCTAACTACAGTCTCAGTGTATAGGGAGATAGGAAACGTTAAAAAAGGATTTTACTGAGGAGATATTAGTGCAGAAATGAGCATCTTCGGTTTTTTCAAAGTCCGAAGAGACTTATTTGGAGCAGACCATGGCTTTATGCAAATTAGTGTGCGATGATATTGTATAACAAATGACACTTTTTTAATGTCCATCTTGAAATTAGACTTAGCTTCATAATAAACGATAGCAGACGTAAAAATAACTTTAATACTGAAACTATTAAGGATCTAGATACCATTGAGTCTCACTATCACTATAGAAAGAAACAGGTAGGAGAGGTCGTCTCAAAAGCGACCTAATTGCCATCTATAGTCTGATCTATTGTTTTCAGCAGCTGTCCGTATTTTTTCTAAGTTTTGCCCGATTTTACGAGTAAACATGCTTTTCTAGATATCCTATTACGCATCCCACTGAACGCCCAGTAAGGCCGATGTGGGTTATTTCGACATATGCTATTTGCAATGTGTAAATTTTAGGGATACAGAGTAACAGCCTAAAAACAGTTTTTTACTATTTCCGACAGTACTTTAGTCAATCTTCTCTATGTGAAAAACCACGTGAAATGAATGAATACTTAAATATGGTGTATATTATTTTGTTTTTTGTTTTTGTTTTATTTCATTTGTTATGAATACAATGGATACATGGTAAGGCATCATTCCTATTCTTCAATATTACTTGTTTATTTTATATACTTAGTTTGCGATCCATAAAGTATTTCCTACACTTAGTCATCTTAAGTCCTGATACTTTATGGAAGTAGCTAGATTGTAGCTGGAGTAACGCCTCTGATACTGCTGTACCACACAAGGAAGGTTGTGTGTCATCTGCATATTGTCCTAATTAATATACCTCATGTGTTAGTTCTATCGCCATGCCTATACTGCTTGTTGTGGTGTATTCCCATACTGCCTACAGTTCCAAACTGTCTACAGGTTAAAACAACATCATACGGTCCAGTGATCAGGAAGTGAATACACCGATCTGACCTGTTCTACCCCTGCTAAAATGAACTTGACTATAGTCCGTCAACTTAACTTTTGGCACCCTGTTTTTCACAATTTACATAAAACTCCTGAATAATATAAAACACTACTCTGTTCATATGGTAATTGTATACCGTGACCTAACACGATATCGATTTTAGTAATTTTAAAAGGATTATTAAAGATTTTGCCTTTAAACCTGTCATATAATAATTGTAAAACTGTGGAGAGTTTTACGAGGGGTTAACGCACATGATGGAAAATCCAACAACATTGTAAAATGTATGTCAGCGTGATATGTACATGCACTGGTAGTGACATTAGCACGCTTAAGTGATGTCAAAGATCGTCAACACACAGGTTATGGTGAAAACGATGTTGTACAAAGATGACCGGCAAATCATCAAAAGAGTTTACAACTTTTTCAAGCACAAGGCAAAGCGAATTTTTCAATTGAGTGTTTCTCCAAAAGACATTTAATGCCACCAAGATCTGCAAAAGAACATTGCAAAGAGTTATCTCTCATGACACCATTTTTCAGAGCCTGACAATGACGTGGCAGTTAAATCGGGGATCGTCTCAAAACATGAAAAAAAAGAAAGCTTGATGAATTCGATAGAAGGGTTGTGAGAGACGTCATGCGTTGGTTACATCGATCCAGTGAGTCCATATCTTTAAGCAAACTGAAGAAATATTGTTCAAAAGAAGACCATGACATCATTGTATCAAAGCATACCATATGCAAGCTGTTGCTCAAATTTGGATATAGATACAAGAGATTGAGCAACCAGTCTTTAAAGACTTCAATAAATCTTGTTTAAGATGGATTTGTGATGATTATACTGTCCCTTTAGATTTGCTTGCAGGCGTAACAATGTAAACAACATGCACACGTGTCATACCATGTTGTTTGCTGTTCCATCGTATCATTTTACTCCCTTGTATAACTACTTCTATTTTTTATATTTTTATAAGATGGCTTCTTAAGAAGAAGCTTTAATAATTGACATAAAATTATGAAATTTAAACGTTAGATAGGTCATAAGATGTAAAGAGAGTTTGCACAAAAACATTTTGAAGGCATTTTTGGTTAAAAGGTAAATTGTGAAAAACAGGGTGCCAAAAGTTCAGTTGACGGACTATAGTTAGCTGGTTAATTCTATGGTGTCTTCCCACACTGCCTACAGAAGTTTAAAAAAATGACAAGTGTTGGTTGGTAGGACATCTTTATTCATTCTGAGAATTCTCAGACTTTACATGGAGACAAGGATTTATCATGAAAAACTGATAGGTTTTACAGTCTTTCAGTGGTTTTACAGTCTTTTCACACACAACTGACAATCACTTTGCAAACTTGATGAGATGTCCAGCAGCATCAAGGTACTGAAGAGGCGTTTTTCTGCCGCTCGATTTTCTTGATGTTGCAGATGAAGAGGTAGATGTTTGGGTGGGCTTTGGCAATAAGGTTTTTCAGCTTCAGGTGCCACCCCTCAAGGTGGTTGTTAGTCCCCGGGCCAATATTTCCATACTGCGTCCAGATCCGTACCGGAAAACGTGCCTTGTTGTCATAATTCCACTCTTGCGTCACCGCCGCTACAGTCAGTCGTTATGAAACAACGGTGGAAGTGGTCATTTTGTATCACACAAGACAGGCTATTATTAGTGTATATGTAAGGTATCCTAAAACATTGTATCTGTACTATGAGGTCCACACACATTCCAAAGATTTAACCTAATGTCCTCCATAGTTGTATCTGTGATGATATAGTTTCCATTTACATTTTGTGTGTGAGTTTAGTTTTACACCGCACTCTGCAATATTCCAGCTATATGGCGGCGGTCTGAAAATAATCGAGTCTGGACCAGAGCATCGATCTGCGCAATTGGGAACCGATGACATGTTTCAACCAAGTCAGCGAACCTGACCACCCGATCCCGTTAGTCGCCTCTTACGACAAGCATGGGTTACTGAAGGCCAATATTCTAACCCGGACCTTCACGGGTTTCCGTTTACATTAGATCTAGTGTGGTGAATCTATTATTTGAAGTATTATTCACTAGAACGGTAACTTCTCTTGAAATTGATTTGTATGGAGGAATATAATGAAAGCTTTTGAGTCCATATTCACCTATGTACATCTTAGTTTATTTTAAAGATGTCAATACATTGCAGAACGTACATAGACGTTTTTATCTCTTTTTCCACATCTTAATGGTTTTTAACTGTTCCATTTTTTCTTCCATACCTGTACAGTATATTGAAACTAGTTTTAACTTGTTATATATTTTTGCTCGATTTGGGAGGGAAATACGATTGAATGGTGCAAATAGCATTTAACATTTTAATGGTTAGTTCTTACCCCTCCCTTTGTCTTGACTATACGGGTAGCATTGAAGGACGTGGTCCATGAGACAGCAACGAGAATCGCCTGGTTCGCGTTAATTGTCCTCTTTGTCTCCAGGGATTGCATGTCGGCCAGTGGAGGTTTACCGAGATGTAAGATCTGGATATGTAGAGGAGAGCGTCGAGTCGGGATCAGTAACATTAATAAAGGATCTTACATGCAAGTAACTATAAGAAAATCTACACGAAGTACGGACATTATTTGAAGATGCAAAAGTACAGGATCATTATTTTCAGTACATTAGTGGATGCAAACTCTTGTAATAAAATGTTTTTAGATTGTGAATCCGTTAATACTGTCAACATCGTGATATCATGAATCTTGTGCGTGATATCATGAATGTCGCAGAAAGACAGTGTAAGAAAAAAAACATTACGCCCAACGTGGGGCTCGAACCCACGACCCCGAGATTAAGAGTCTCGTGCTCTACCGACTGAGCTAGCCGGGCGCTGAATGGGAGTGGAAAGTTAAATATATTTATTCTAAATTTATCTATGTTTACGTCCGTATTAACATGTTTTATGTTCCTGTCAAATTATGTATTTGTGTCACTTTTAGTTAGTTCATAATATGTTTAAAATGTACACTACTCTTTTCCTAAACTTGGAAAAATGGCGCGCAAATGCAAGGGGCGCAACTCCAAAAGTACAAGTAGGCGGCGCTTCCGGGTAACTAAGCACGCCGATTCTTCACAGATGACTGTTTATTAGAGTAAATACAGCTAATAATTAGTAATTGTGGTAATGAGGTGATTTTATTAAACTCAGTGAGCACAAGGACGCTGATGGGAGCTGGATGTAGCTCAGACAATAATGTCATCAGAGCATCAACCGCATCTTTACAGGACAACGAAACAACGCCTTTCAAAATTCTCATTTTAGGACCAAGTAATGCGGGTGAATATCAACAATGAATTATTAAACAAATCCTAATAATGCCAGGTCATTTCAGAACATGTCATGGCAGGTTATCTCCAGTTGATTGCCCTTGAATCATAGGATAAAAAATGTTTGCGAACATATTGATAGCAGCTCATTCCCATAGTTCATATGAATAAACTCGTATTCCAGCCAAGGCCTACATAAAGTTGTCGAGCACACCTTGGTATAGTGCAAAGTCGTCTTGTTATATGCTGGACAACTCATTCCCTCAAAGAATTTGTTATTGCTATTAATTAATTAATTAATCTACATACACACTACATACATAGTCGGATCCAGGAATTGGGGGGGGTGGGGTGGGGGTGGTCGAGCCCTCTGAACCCCACCTTGGCTCCACCAATGCAAAACATTAACTTCAGTGTCGTCTTTAGTCATTTTCCGGGGGGGGGGGGTCGATCCCCTCCCCCCTCTGGATCCGTCAATAAGTCATACATGTATTTGACAGATGTTTATAATCACGATGAAACTTAGATGGGCTCCAAACTAAAGAACCTCAGCCTCTCAAAACACTTCAATAACAAGCATACTCAGTTCAGGTGGTTACAGTGTCACCTGGTAGCTTGGAATGTTAGTCTTCACTGACCCATGATTGTCATAAGAGGTGACTGACGGAATTGGGTGGTCAGGCTTGCAGAACTTGTTGATGCAAGTCATTGTAGATCGATGTTCATTATGTTGATCCCTTGATTGTCGGTCCTGACTCAGTTATTTACAGCAGGGGTTAAAAAATACCATAGCCCAACACCCGGGTCGAGTGGAATTCTCTGGTCAGTCAAGTAAATATCCACATTAAACTTAACCATGGTACAGTAGTGCCAAACTACTGAAATGTTTTCATATATGTATTTTGATGATGAAATAGAAATGCAATTGCTACCAACTCAAATTGTTAATTGTGGTCAAGTGAATTTAATATTTGGTCAAGTGGATTTTGAAAGTTTACTGGACCTATGTCCAGTGGAGTTTCAACCCCTGTACAGACCGTCATAATCATGGTGCTACAGCTGGAAAATTGCTATACACACAAATACAGTTTGTATCTTAGGTTGTTTACTCCTTTCCTGTACCTTATGTGCTTGGTAATTACATCATAAAATTTATGTTTGCATTAAAGAATGTCTTGAACTTGCTATTACTACCAATTAGACTGAGTCTAGTCCCATTTTGATATTGGAGAAATATAAATGAGACCAATACATGCATCACAGAACAAGTTGCTGTTTGAATACAAGGTTTTCCCAGTGGACCAGTGGACATGTTTACTATCAAAATAAGTTTTCCTGAAATAAGACAGGTTGTGTTTGTTTTCAGGGAAAACCTATTTATTATATTCCTGGCTGTTGGAAGTAAAGGGCGTCCATTCAACAAAGCCGACAGAGGAGTTTAATGTTGAGACTGTTGAGTCCAAGTCAGGGGACAAATTCACTGTGTGGGATCTGAGTGGGGCCCTCCGACATCACAGAAAGAGAAAGTTTTATGAAGGAACTCAGGGAATTGTATTTGTGTATGATGCCAGCACGGACTCGAAACCAGCCAAAGATGACTTACAGTTATTGCTGGAGGAGCGATTTGTGCAGGACGTTCCCTTGATGATTGTTGCTAATCAACTTAAAGAACATGGTAAAATATTTGGATTCTGTCTGTTTTATTTAAAATAATCATATAATGCCTGGATCTGACTCTATTTCATCAATATAGAAACCGTTACCATCATGACAGTCCAGCAAACAAACAAATAGATTGGCTTGGCCTTTCAAAATGGCTATGTGATTGAATTGATTTTTTCTTTTTGAAACAGCTTTGACAAGCAAAAATGAAATATCTCAGCTTTATTGTACGGTTTCAAATAAACTTAGTCTGCAGTGGGAGTGACAATGTCATGGTCTACTTTCAGTATTTATAGATTTCTTTCTTGAGCAACAAGTTACATGTTTCTGTAGTTACATATTACTGACTCACTGAAATTATGATTTCTTTCAGATACCCCATCTGAGGAGGATTTGCTTAATAATCTTGGTGTTAAACAGGATCTGGTGAATAGACATTGGTGCTTAACACGAGTTCGACTGAAATCTCAACAGGATATCGATGGAGCAATCTGTGATCTCCAGAGACTTGTCACAAAGTGAATTACCTCAATGTTTAACCAGCTTCACCATGTCTGTGGAGCCATCAAATTAACATCATCTATCTCTGCAGGGCTAGCATTTCAGTAAACCTACACAAATCCTTGGATCCATTCTGTGGTTCTCGCAATCGTAAATTACCCATCCTTAATTGTCATTAACATTTTACTGACCAATCAGCTATTCTTGTAAAGGAAATTGGTAAGGAAGGGGGACATGAAGACTTTCAGGCTTTCTTTTCCATGTCAGTTTTTGGATGTTGATTTCTTTCTAAACTCCATCACAATCAATTGGAATGGCTACCATCTTGATATTGCCAGCTCATCTTGAGGCACTGGTCTGTTAGACTATGTAGCATACCAAATCAAATTGGCTAATGAAAATCAAGGGCAAGTACCGGTAATTTGAGAATGTAAATGGATATGGGGCTAGTGTAGGTTTACCAGAACACAAGCCCTGGATATATAGAGGATGTCATGCTGGCTGCATTGTCTCTTCCAAATACAACTGACACCTCCAACAGAGATGCCAACCCTTACGCTTTAGGCGTAATTATTACGATTTTGACCATTAAATACGCCATTACACTTAATCTGCGAAAATTACGCTTTTCTACTCGTTTTACGAAAATCAATAAAGTGGTTAAATTTTCACAGGGAAGTGTTTCGTTACGCACAGGTGCAGGGGTGCAGAAATGGTCTTGCACCGATAGGAATCGCTTACTCTTAGCATCGCACTCATTCCAGTTAACTTGCAAGGAATTAAAGTATTTTGAGTCACATGACCAACAATTTTCAATGTATGGAGCTTCATTGTGATTGGTCACATGTGTTTCTGCCCAGAATCTTCCTTTCGTGAAACCGTGTACCATGTTGAAGCGATCGGCAGACACGTATTACACTTTTTTAGGTCCAAATTACACTTTCTGACCTCTAGTATTACACTTAGGCCCAAAATAGGGTTGGCATCTCTGCTCCAACATCACATCTTCTCCTGGCTCTTGAGCTTTCTGGATGGATAAACTTTTCACAAATATATTTTCACAATTCAATTTTTGTTCATCAATTTTATCAGCTAGAATGGCCCACACTGAAGAGTTGCCTCCCCTTGTAAAGTCAGGATCATTGGTTTGAATCTCGGATTAGTCCATCACCACTATACCATTGGCTCATTGTTTTCAATAAAGTGATTCAACCTGCATCCTTTTGAACAGGCTTTCGACAAGATTGGGATATGACAGAAATCAAACAGTAGTTATCATTGTGTATAATAATAAGAATATTACCTCTATTACACAAGGACAGAACTTTGTGAGTAAAATGGCCACCTCATGTAGTAGCAAGTTTATTCCAGACATCATCATCAGAAATCAAATATTGTTTCCTTTGGCCATATTGACAAAGACAAAAGATGATCATGAGTCATTTGTTGTAAACATCTTCTCATAAACCAACACCGCCGTGATGTTGCTGGAATATTGCTAAAAGCGGCGTAAAACCAAACTCAGCCAGCCAGTCATAAACCAACAGACCAATGATTGTTTCCACCAGTGATGAAGCCTGGATTTGTCCAGGAGGTCTGAATCCAATTTTCAAAATTGCCAGAATGGCAATGTTTTTGATAAAAAATATTTATGGTAACTGCTCAATAATTTTTGCTCCGAATGCAAGTTAAAGCTCTGCAGATGACTTCTCTGAAATAGCTGGGGACGCTATGTGTCACCTTATGTTGAAATCATGGTTTATTCAAATCATTAGGATTTTAGTGTGATTTTTGTGAAAGATATCAAAATCGTAGGGTAAAAAACTTTGCTATTTACACGGCATATAAAGGACAGATATGTAAGTCTGTAATGTAAATGTAACTGTTGTGTGGTGCAACAACAGTCCTCAGTAACACATACGTCATTGTTGGTTACAAACATTGTGGAAATGTAGTGAATTGTTTCGACTTTTGTCCTCGCTGTTTGTTCACAAATATTTGAAAAATCATTGTTAATTGGCCATCTTTGTTGATATTTTAAATGGTTGACTATAGATCCAGGTGAGCTAAAGTGCCACATGGCGCTATTTTTTCTGTTACACAATTTGTAAAAAGCACTTTGTATATTTTGTAACCATCTAATTTCTTTACAGTTTCACATCATTCTTCATCCTTTGTGCCAAATGAACAAATTTTGTGTTTGTCATAAGAAAATATCATAACCGTCCAAAATATCAGGATACATGTACATATTATTATAAATATTCTATGTATATATATTGTTGCATAAAGAGTATCGTTAATAGTGATAGTTAACTGAGCAGCACCATATTAACAGCAAAATAAGCGTCATCAGGTTTAGTTATTTCAATTGATGAAATAAACAGTTTCACACCCTATTACACTTGTTTTCATGGTGGTGTTAGTTAAACTGTTCAGTCAGTTTATGTTGGAGTAACTGATGCAGATCAACAAAAGGTTGATGAAGTTTAGATTTGTCATTAAGAACCTTTAGAAAACCTTACTTAACACAACAGAATTCTAGACCATGAAAAACTTATGACATGGATGATGACCTATTTTGCTACTCTGAAAGATCAATCAGATTAATTATTTAAAGGTTCTTTACAAAGTCTTGGAATAGTATTTAGAAGTGATACACATGAACAGGGGATATAACTGGCATCAACTTCTGTAACGGGAGGATTCTGAGGAACACTATGGTTCGGAGGAGTATGAATACACTCCACAATGTTGTGTTCTTCATATTACATACGTTGACATTACCGGTAATTTATATCCCATTTATATCTTTACAAGTTAAAAAATAACACCTGAGGAGACAAAGGTTCTTTACAATGAGTGAGTGTAGATTTACATGGCTTTTAGCAATATTCCAGCAGTATCATGGTGGGGAACATCAGGAATCGGCTTCACACATTGTACTAATGTGGGGAATCGAACCCGGGTCTTCGGCACGACGAACGCTTTAACCACTAGGCCCCAGTGGGGTTTCAGGGTTAGATAACAATACCACCTGCTGTGTGCCAATAAACATCTCTAACTTGTAGAGTAAGTCATTTTTATACTGACTGAGTTTAGTTTTACTCCGCTTTTAGCAATATTCCAGCAGCATCATGGTGGGGAACACCAGGAATCAGCTTCACACATTGTACTAATGTGGGGGGATCGAACCGACCTTCTTGACTCTGGGTGGGCAGCTTTAACCACTAGGCACCGTGGGAGGCAGGGTTAGATAACAATACCACCTGGAGTATGAATAAACATCTCTAACTTGTAGAGTAAGTCATTTTTATACTGACTGAGTTTAGTTTTACTCCGCTTTTAGCAATATTCCAGCAGTATCATGGTGGGGAACACCAGGAATCAGCTTCACACATTGTACTAATGTGGGGAATCGAACCCGGGTCTTCGGCACGACGAACGCTTTAACCACTAGGCCCCGGTAAGGTTCAATACCACCTGCTGTACAATGAACATGAGTGTAGTCATTTTACACTGAGCTTTTAGCAATATTCCAGCAGTATCATGGTGGGGAACACCAGGAATCGGCTTCACACATTGTACCAATGTGGGGAATCGAACCCGGGTCTTCGGCACGACGAACGCTTTAACCACTAGGCCCCAGTGGGGTTTCAGGGTTAGAATACAATACCACCTGCCGTGTGCCAATAAACATCTCTAACTTGTAGAGTAAGTCATTTTTATAAGTACTCATTAACTATTATGGAAAGATATTTTAGTTCATTGACAATTAAACGAAATATTCTCAGTCTCATAAAAAAGCATATACAATGAGTTAAAAAAGTCAATTTTCTGTGTACCCAAGGAGCTTATTATGTTGAATATGGTATGTTCCCAGCAACAGACATTGTAAGATGTGATGCAATGGATTTGGTTTTCACTCACAAATGGAGATGTGTCAGTAGCAATCATGAATCTTACACAACACATACAAGAATGGTTTTATTTGCATTCACAAAGTTGTAACCACTGTATATCATTTAATCACTGGTTAACAGTTCAACTGTCACAGTACAGTCAGTCACAGCGTGTATCACAGATAGCTGGTGAAGTGATGCATCTATTCCACATCAGTATCCAAGTGTCTGCAGCTGGTACACCTTGGCCCCCTTCTTCAGCAGAAAGCCTTGGTTGTTGAGAGATGCCACAAACCCCTCGAAGTCAGAAACATGAAGACCGATGTCCTGCAGAAGGATGAAATTACAGAATAAACTCGGAATAAATGTTTTGTTGACATAAGTATTTACCATACATCCAAGATTACTGACTGGAGATATATTGACCTAGTTCCCTGCAATGTTCCTGGATAATTACAAAAATCGTGAAATTTCAATCTCTTTTCTTAAAACAGACTCAACCTAAAACAAATTTATCACAATATGTTAGATCTGAGTGCAAAGGTTTGAGGTCAGTTATTAACAGACATTAACTGACCGAAGATGACTGCTTTTAACTACCAAGTCAACTTCTAGATGAAGCTGAAATTATTCTTTATAACCACCATTGTAATAAAATTTATTAAACAGTCCATACTTTATATTTTTAGAGCAGAAGGGGCATATAACTGCCAACTGACTGTCATAATAGGGTTACAGTTGATGTTTGAACTAATCCTTCCCAATCTCTGAACACAAATTTCACAAGTTAAAAATATTAATATTAAAGTGACCAAGTTTCTAATTGTGCTGGCCATTATGGCAAAAAGCGGTGTATATATAAGGATCCTTATAGTTGGGCCATAGTAACCTTTCCAATGTCTTAGATGAACTTGACTCTGAGAGCTTAAGAGGCCAATCCAAGAATTTGAAAAACCTGTATGGTGTCCTGTAAGGTGTCTGAAAGATACATGGTGCAGACACATAACCCCTGCACCCCTGCTCTGGATACATGGTGCACACCCCCACTCAATGGGACTTCTGCCCATGGCTTCCAGTGTTACTGTTCCCACCTTGGCTATCTGCCTCATCTGTTGCACAGTGAAGATGGAGTTGTACGTCTGATCCGCCACCTTCTGCAAGGCTGACACAAACCTCTTGGGCTGAAACAGGAAGTTATCCTTCATGACTACTAAGACATTGCTGGGATGCAAATTAGCAGCAACCCACTAGCCTTCCTCTACAGACCTGTGGCAATCTCCAGACAGCTAGGACAATAAAGGATGTCTGTCTACTTGAGGTATACTCACATATGTTTGGTATTATTGGAAAGCTGGGAATCTAGTTTTCTAATATCAGTGTTGCCAGACATGAAAGTGTCAGGCAACATGTCATTTGAGGGTGTTTCCACGGTAACCCTGCTATCATACAAAGCTCAAGAAAATATTGATTGTCATGAAAATGCTAAAGCGAAGTATAACTGACTGACTGAGTTTTGGTTTTACGCCGCTTTTAGCAATATTCCAGCAACATCACGGCGGGGGACACCAGAAATGGGCTTCACACATTGTACCCATGTGGGGATTCAAACCCGGGTCCTCAGCGTGAAGAGCCAACGCTTTAACCACTAGGCTACCCCACCGCCCCCGAAGTAAAACTACTTAAAGAGAGGTTCAGATTGCTTAACACACCAACTGTGGTAACTGCGATTCATGGTCAATAACAGGATCCATACACACAACACTGTAATATTTGTAAGAGAATCTACCTACCTGAGACCTCCCACTCATGCCTGAGCCATGCTGTGAACGTTTGAAGTCCAACCACCCAAACTGATCTGAGTAGACATCCACCATGCTGGGAGTAGACAGACACAACAAATTAGTGATTGAGTATGATTTTATGCCGCTTTAAGCAATATTCCAGCAATATTATGGCAAGGGATACCAGAAAGAGGCTTCATACATTTTACCCATGTGGGGAACTGAACCCGGGTCTTCACTTTAACAACTTACCTACCACACCACCCCCAACAAGCTAGAACATCATCTATAAGTAATGACTAAACATTCAGTTGTCTTTCACTTGATCAAAACCTAAGCATGACAGACAGGCAGAAGAAACAACAGACAGAGAAGCAGCACTAAGTCAATCGTATTCCTCGGTCGACCTGATGACATACACACACGTCTCAGCGCAAGTCAATCGTATTCCTCGGTCGACCTGATGACATACACACTCATGTTTCAGTGCAAGTCAATTGTATTCCTCGGTCGACCTGATGACATACACACACATGTCTCAGCGCAAGTCAATCGTATTCCTCGGTCGACCTGATGACACACACTCATGTTTCAGTGCAAGTCAATCGTATTCCTCGGTCGACCTGATGACATACACACTCATGTCTCAGTGCAAGTCAATCGTATTCCTCGGTTGACCTGATGACATACACACTCATGTCTCAGTGCAAGTCAATCGTATTCCTCGGTCGACCTGATGACATACACACTCATGTCTCAGCGCAAGTCAATCGTATTCCTCGGTCGACCTATGACATACACACTCATGTTTCAGTGCAAGTCAATCGTATTCCTCGGTCGACCTGATGACAAACACACATGTCTCAGCGCTAGTCAATCGTATTCCTCGGTCGACCTGATGACACACACTCATGTTTCAGTGCAAGTCAATCGTATTCCTCGGTCGACCTGATGACATACACACACGTCTCAGTGCAAGTCAATCGTATTCCTCGGTCGACCTGATGACACACACTCATGTCTCAGCGCAAGTCAATCGTATTCCTCGGTCGACCTGATGACACACACTCATGTTTCAGTGCAAGTCAATCGTATTCCTCGGTCGACCTGATGACATACATACACATGTCTCAGCGCAAGTCAATCGTATTCCTTGGTTGACCTGATGACATACACACTCAAGTCTCAGTGCAAGTCAATCGTATTCCTCGGTCGACCTGATGACATACACACTCATGTCTCAGCGCAAGTCAATCGTATTCCTTGGTCGACCTGATGACATACACACTCATGTCTCAGTGCAAGTCAATCCTATTCCTCAGTCGACCTGATGACATACACACACGTCTCAGCTCAAGTCAATCGTATTCCTTAGTCGACCTGATGATATACACACATATCTCAGTGCAAGTCAATTGTATTCCTCGGTCGACCTGATGACATACACACACATGTCTCAGTGCAAGTCAATCGTATTCCTTAGCCGACCTGATGACATACAGACACATATCTCAGTGCAAGTCAATCGTATTCCTTGGTTGACCTGATGACATACACACTCATGTCTCAGTGCAAGTCAATCCTATTCCTCGGTGGTCGACCTGATGACATACACACATGTCTCAGTGCAAGTCAATCCTATTCCTCGGTCGACCTGATGACATACACACACATGTCTCAGCGCAAGTCAATCGTATTCCTTAGTCGACCTGATGACATGCAGACACATATCTCAGTGCAAGTCAATCCTATTCCTCAGTCAACCTGATGATACACATGTCGCCCAGCACAACCCCAGCCAGGGCTGTCCACCTGATGATACACATGTCGCCCAGCACAACCCCAGCCAGGGCTGTCAACCTGATGATACACATGTCGCCCAGCACAACCCCAGCCAGGGCTGTCCTCTTGATGATACACATTTCGCTCAGCACAACCCCAGCCAGGGTTGTCCACCTGATGATACAGATGTCTTCCCAGCACAACCCCAGTCCACCTGATGATACACATTTCGCTCAGCACAACCCCAGTCAGGGCTATCTACCTGATGATACAGATGTCTCCCAGCACAACCCCAGCCAGGGCTGTCCACCTGATGATACACATTGATCAGCACAACCCCAGTCAGGGCTGTCTACCTGATGATACAGATGTCTCCCAGCACAACCCCAGCCAGGGCTATCTACCTGATGATACACATGTCGCCCAGCACAACCCCAGCCAGGGCTATCTACCTGATGATACACATGTCTCCCAGCACAACCCCAGCCAGGGCTATCTACCTGATGATACAGATGTCTCCCAGCACAACCCCAGCCAGGGCTATCTACCTGATGATACAGATGTCTCCCAGCACAACCCCAGCCAGGGCTGTCAACCTGATGATACAGATGTCTCCCAGCACAACCCCAGCCAGGGCTATCTACCTGCCATGAAGTGAGACTCACCTAAACTTCATAATCTCCACCACCTCCTCAGCATCCTGTGCAGTGGCCACCTCCCTCAGCTCCAGTCTGGCCCTGGCCTCCGTCAACCTGATGAGGGACTCCAACTGTCTGGTTGTGATCGGGGTGCTGTCCTGTGTCTGATGCTTCTTACGGAGGGCCAGATAGAAGTCCTGGAAAAATAAATAAATTTAACTTCAAATTATTTTGCATTTCTATAGGTATTACCATTAAAACTGAGGTGCACAATTTGTAAATCCATGTTGAAGATTTTCACAACATGCACACACCTTTTTTTCATTTAAACCTAAAAAACATGCTCCAATACAAAATCAGAAACACCATTCATCACAGTCACACAACACCAGCTCCACCTTCTCTCTTATATGCCAATCAGAAACAGTGGTAGGCGTGGCTTAAAAGGGTGGAAACAAATGCAGAAAATATTGCTTTGACAGACAATCAAATGATATGAATTCACTTGATATTCATTTATTCATACATTATCAGTGATGGCAATGAGAACAAGACATAAATATGATAAACTAATTTATCTGCTCGTCATTGAACTGTATTACTATAGATTACCTGTTAGGTTTTAAATGAACATTTATGTTTCCCATTATCAATAAAATAGAAATCAAGTCAAAATATAATTGAATCCAATACCAGATCATTAATTTGAATAGGCATCTTAAAATGTACAATGATTATTTTCACTACCATTCAAAAATCTATAATATGTTTAGAATTCACCTGGATTAGAAACATTTATGGAGTCTTAATGGTTTTTGATCATTAAAATGCTAAATCATTTATAAGGAGTTTAACAGAAACATGTATCCAATTTCATCTACAAACCTGTAGAACTTTGGCTGCTTCTGGGCCTATGGTTGAATGAACATACTTCCTGGCATAGCCTATATACTGCAATATAAGAATACTTCTATAAAGCAGTGTACTGGTGTGAATGAGAAACCAAGATTCTGTGTTATGACTATTAATGAATACTTACTGGAACAAGGACCCTATGGAGATTCTTGATTAAGATAGGCCTCCAAAAGCATATGCTTGTCATTTTAGGGAGTTCATGCTCTGTGATTACTTTGAATATGTGTCATCATACCCGACTTTTAAAATATCAGTCACTTGATTATATGGTCCAGATCTGATTATTTCTGGCCTCAATAATTTAGCTGAAATATTGCCGAGTGATGTGTTATACAATAAAGTAAGTTAGGAATCTGTCCGTCTGTCTCTTTTTCTCTGTCTGCATCATTCTGATTGCTAAAACATTAACATAATGAAATATTATGTTTTTTCATAGATGAACATTTGATCCAAATGTTGAAATATTTTGAAAAAGTTTTCTATGCAAAACCGTTAAGATTGAGTGATTTCGCTATATGTGTCAAACATAAAAAGTGAATTTTACACAGTAGTTAAAAGTGCATCTTATACACCAACTAATGTTTTTCATTTTTATGGACTGCTAGATTAAAATGCTCTTAACGAACACAGATACCCTTAACCAACCCTGTTTCATTTTACCAAAATAGGAGACCTACAATCACTTGAAAACAAACTATTATATATTTCAACTTACAGATCAGTGGGTGAATATGTTGAGGTATACCTGCAATCTAAGTTTACCTGTGTGACTGACTGGGTTTGGGACTGTACACAACATACCTTCCGAAGCAGCTGATAAGGAATGGGATCAAAGGCATCGAGCTTTGGTATCTTCAGTCTTTCACTCAGTGGCTTGTCTGCCTCCCACTGCAGTCTGGAGGAATCAAGGTCAACCTGAAACCGTCCATCCGGCTTTAGGACGTTCTTATCAATATAATGTCAAGGCACACACCTTTCCATACAGCTTTAACTGTGACAGTACACAGATGGCTCCTAAAATGTATGGACATTGTGAATAAACTCAAGTTTTACACAGACAAGGCAATTGTGTGTTACAGATCATGTCAGGTAGCCAAGCATGTATTGTTGTGTTGGTCATGTCAAATGTCTGTGCTATATCACTCACAAATTATTCAGAACCCAAAGGTAGTGCTGTAGCAAGGGATTTCTGTATCTCACTGAAAATCTCAAAAACCAACCAGAAAGTTCTGAATGCACATAAAGAAGGCCAGGGTTTATCAGTGGACAGTTTATTGGATGTTGAATGTATCCTAAGAGCTAGAAGAATTTAAGGCAGGAGTGTCCTTTAGGCGTGTCCTTATATATTATCACTATGTATGTGTGTGTGTGTGTGTGTGTATGTATGTGTGTATGTATGTATGTATGTGTGTATGTATGTATGTATGTATGTATGTATGTATGTATGTATGTATGTATGTATGTATGTATGTATGTATGTATGTGTGTATGTATGTATGTATGTATGTATGTATGTATGTATGTGTGTGTGTGTGTGTATGTGTGTGTGTGTGTGTGTGTGTGTGTGTGTGTGTGTGTGTGTGTGTGTGTGTGTGTGTGTGTGTGTGTGTGTGTGTATGTATGTATGTATGTATGTATGTATGTATCAGGTGAAGATACATCTTGTTGCTTATTTGTATATGGCAGTGTAATTCATCGTAAAACAGTGTTGCAATTATATTACATGTAAATTGTTTCTTTTAGATTCGGTTTAGGGCAGTGGTGTCCCAGTTACTGTATTTAGAGTGAAGAGCAGTCTGGAAGCAGCTAGAACCGCTAGCCTAATCCAGCTTAGGATAGACCCTTCCTGTAGGAATTAAGACTACCAGTACATGGAAACAGGCTCATGCTTGCCTCTCAACTCACATTACATCCAGACTGGGAATGTTATTTTCACACGGAACATCCAGTCTAGAATGTTTTTGAAGCTTGACGACTGTCGCTGCCAGGTGATTATTTTCACTGCTTAAATTTTCATATACATACTGCCCTTGAATTTGTACTTCCATTGAAATTCCTTCATGGTAATTTGTTTGCTTGTTTATTCCGAAATTTTGTTGTTGTTTGCTGTTTAATGCCACACTCAGCAATATTCCAGCTATATGATGGTGGTCTGCATATAATCAAGTCTGGACCAGATAATCCAGTGATCAACAGCATGAGCATCGATCTCTACAACTGGGATACCATGACATGTGTCAACCAAGTCAGCAAGCCTCACCACCCAATCCTGTTAGTTGCCTCTTACAACAAGCATTAGGTGGCTCAAAAGACCCAAATCTTCACAGGTAACAGTCATTTGTACTGATCTTGAAATTTAGTTAATTTCAGAAAGCAAATGTTGACTGTATATAATGTTATTGTTGTTGTTGGTTACAAACCAAATTCCTGGTTAAGTTATTGTTTCAACTCGGAAATCACCATGTAACCATATCCACTGGCAACTTGCCTGAGTTCTCCTGACTGTAACCCCCAGAAGATCACTGGAAATAAAATGACAGGTGATATAGGACTGGCGATCAAACAACAGAATATCACAGTATTTATTGTGAGTGAGGGAGTAAGTATGGTTTTATGCTGCCATCACAAATGGGAGAATTAAACCTGGGAATTTGGCATGCTGAGCTAAAGCTTTAACCACAAGGCTCCCTTTGAATAAATAGCTGTACCTATACTTTAAGTTTGAGTTGTAATCTCCAAAGCGAGCAGAGAATGAAAATCAGTCGCACAATGATTCATTGACTGGGGAAGTGATAATGTAGTGCTTCAGATGCCCCTGTGTGCTGCGGAAATAGAGTGCAATAGCTACAAACAGGCATCTGAAAGTCAAACAGCTGTACCTTTTTTTCCCTGCATGGAGCGCCATCACATGTTCGGACAGCATGTTGTCCATCTCCTGTAAGACATCACATTAGTCTACTGTAGAGATGATTATCCTGAACAGTCAGTGTAGTGAGTATACTAATACATTTGTATCTCATCATACAATTCCAGGTAGTCATCTTTCAGCCAGGCCAACTTAATTCAACATCTACGTCAAGTTCAAACAAACTAGATAGCCTCTATCAAATGTTTGAAATTATAAATTAACTTTACCATTTCTATCAATCTGCACAGTATGACGTCTCCTGTAAACACATTGTACTGACCTCATCAGGCTTGTCCAGCAGGATGAAAACTAGGTCGAATCTTGACAGAAGAGCACTGCCCATTCTGAAATGACAGGGAGTGAGTAAGGTTTTATGCCACTTTTAGCAATATTCCAGCAATATCAGAGCTGGGGACACGACAAATGGGCTTCACACAATGTACCATGTGGAGAATGGAGCCATGATCTTTGGAGTGACGAGAGAACACTTTAATCAATAGGCTTTTATGGCACACTTAGAAGTCACCTTGGTCTAACAAAATAAATTTTGGTTTTGGATTTTATTATGTGAAAAGAGTGACTAATGCACTTTCACAAAAGTAAAATGAATCAACACATATTTAAGTCGTACTATCACACTGGTCGGCATCTGACTGGTCGGCCCGACCGATCGATATGCCAAATTTGACCGAGTCGTATCATCTGAGTGATTAATCAAATTCAGCAAACGGTACAAATCGGTCGCTCGAACCCACGTTGATTGTGCCTCAAGCGTGTAAAGCAGGGCCAATCAAATTGTGTTTTGTTGTCACATGGTAAATGTTTACATACAAGCGCCAAACATGGCTTCGTCTGCTTCAAAGAAACCACACCTTGATTTTTCACGAATGTCCATCTTCAATATCAAGTTCTTTAATGATATGATTGTATGCTCTGTACATGTTGCGACAGAGAATCCAATCTTTTGTCCAACAACTTCTCTTTTTCTTCGCTTTGGCATTGCAGCCTTCTGCAGTCAACTAGGTCTGCTTCCAGACACTTTGATACCATGGAAACAAATAGCCACGAGATATTATGAGATCGACACTAATATCGGCTGATTGAATTGTGTGAGAGGTTGCAAATCGATCTGTCGATATTTGTTACAACCATCGAACATGTACAAAATATGGAAATCAGCAGGTCGTTACGAAGTGCTGACCCGTGTGAGTCGCGCTTTAGCTGATTATGCAACAAATCATCTGGTGCATATGCACAATGACACATTAGTAAATTGTGTCAACTTAATAAAAAACAACTGCATCAGAACAATCTATCTCAGTCAGACAACATAAATGTTACGGACATACTTGAGATTTTCTGAAACTGTTTTTGCCTTGTTGTAATGCCCGCCTACTGGATTAGCTGCTGCGATGATGGAGGTGCGAGCAGGCAGACTGAAATGTCAAGGTCATGTTGTGTTACAGAGTTATATGCTGTGGTCCAAAATCCTGGGGTATTAACAATACGTTTCTGGCTTATGGGGATATAAAGGTAAACAATAATGGTGATCAGACACTTATAAACATATATGTCATAAATAACACACAGACTGCCTGAATAATTATCAACCAAACAAATACACCTTATCCAATGATTCACATCAGTCAGTGCTGTAATATAACAAAACCACTATGATTCTGTTATCAGCAGTGTGTGAAATAGTTTCCAAATTTTGCTAGCCGGTCGGGCTAGCTATGCCTGAAAGTTGCTAGCCCACAAAATAATTCACTAGCCCGAAATTTGAATGTAGAAACTAAGCAAAATATTACACAAAGGTAAAATACCATCAAAAACAAATAAGAAAAGACATGTCTGAATTTCTTAAATATTTTGTTTATGCTCAAATAAGTCATCATTAAGCTGCTAATATGATGAACATTTTTATCAGAAAATAATCTTGCATGATTTAAAAGTCGGAGAGAGTGATATATTTACAAAATAACCCCATGAAAATTCACTAGCCAGTCGGGCCAGTGACTGTGGAGATTTACTGGCCCGACGGGATTTTTACTAGTCACGGGCTAGCGGGCCAGTGGCTATTTCACACACTGGTTATCAGCCAATCAGGAAACAGTAGTGCTGGCATGGACTTGTTCTTTTCTATTTATCCAAAATTGTTCAGTTAGCCTATCAAATGATGCTAAACAACTAGCACTTTATTCACATGAACACTACTGAAATAGGTTGTCAATCATTACAAATAGATACTATCAAGAAATGTTCAAAGCTCAACTGGTTATTTGAGTGAATGTTTCTAAACCAAGGCAAAAGAAAATTATATTAACACTGTCCACCTTTAAATGACTCTTAAATACTTGATCCACCTTTAAATGACTTGTCTTTGTGATATGATCCATCTCACCTGAGACTTTCCAGCTTTAGCGATACTGATACTCTGCTGTTCCTGAGAAAGTGTTAAAGACAATTGGCTTTAATCATTGTTTTGGTGCAATGTGTAAAATGTGCCACCAGGTTGTCCCAATTTGTGATATGATCCATCTCACCTGCAGACTATTCCAGCTTTAGCGATACTGATACTCTGCTGTTCCTGAAAGTGTTAAAGACAAACGTGGTGTGTAAATTATTGTGTCTGAATGAATCAAGTGATTGACATCATGAGCATCTGGTGCAATTCACTTTTGATATGATGAATCTTCCATCAAGCAAGTCTGAGAGCCTGATTACCCCTTTAGTTGCCTCCTACAACACAAAAATATTTCCTCAGTTGATCAGGATGTCCAAGTTATACATCACATCTGGTGCATTTATGATGACTTCCATCAAGCAAGTCTGAGAGCCTGATTAAACAACACAAACCTCAGTTGATCATCCCTATATGGATAAAATATGGATAAAACTTAAGAATCCATGCATGTTGTATCATGTGTGATTTATATTTGTTCTTAGAAAAACAGTCAATGTTTGGACAATCCATGTCAGATTTCCGTCACTCAAGATTGAAGTGTCTCTTGAAACAAGGACTTTCCATCTGTTATCTATGGGGAATCTCACATTTTGTACCTAATGCCAAGGACCTAGAAATCTTGTACCAAGAGGAATCCCCATTTCTATATACCAAAATACATCAGCGACCTGGTAAGAGATATATTGTTTCAATTAGGGTATAGTGAAGACAAGACATTGCATTATGAAGACCTGTCAAAACACAACATATCATTAATTTAGTAAACATTATTCTCAAGATTCCATATAAGATACTGCTTACCATAGCCTCTAAGAGAGCTTGATGCTGATTGGTCATCTTGTCAAACTCATCTATGCAGCAGCACCCCTGGTCAGCCAGGACAAGAGCACCTGCTTCCAGGGCATAGTCTCCGGACCCTCCATCCTTGGACAGTGTCACCTGACATACATCAGAAGTATACAGTCCATGCCACATACAGCACTACCTGCTTCCAGGGCATAGTCTCCGGACCCTCCATCCTTGGACAGTGTCACCTGACATAGATCAGAACCATACAGTCCATGCCACATACAGCACTACCTGCTTCCAGGGCATAGTCTCCGGACCCTCCATCCTTGGACATCCTTGTGTCACCTGACATACATCAGAAGTATACAGTCCATGCCACATACAGCACTACCTGCTTCCAGGGCATAGTCTCCGGACCCTCCATCCTTGGACAGTGTCACCTGACATACATCAGAAGTATACAGTCCATGCCACATACAGCACTACCTGCTTCCAGGGCATAGTCTCCGGACCCTCCATCCTTGGACAGTGTCACCTGACATACATCAGAAGCATACAGTCCATGCCACATACAGCACTACCTGCTTCCAGGGCATAGTCTCCGGACCCTCCATCCTTGGACAGTGTCACCTGACATACATCAGAACCATACAGTCCATGCCACATACAGCACTACCTGCTTCCAGGGCATAGTCTCCGGACCCTCCATCCTTGGACAGTGTCACCTGACATACATCAGAACCATACAGTCCATGCCACATACAGCACTACCTGCTCAAACTACCGGTACTCAGATCTCACTCATTTAGCTGTCGAGAGCTGCATGTAACTGACTGGGCAGTTTGTGTTGCCATGTACAGTAAACTATGTTTCACCGAACATTCTTATAACAAACTGGCATAAATGACAAGCTGTGTTGACACATGCTGATTACTTTATTCTTATATATATATGTGTATAAAGAACTATGGTTATAATGAACCAAAATTAGTGGTTGTTTTGAGTTTGTTACACACATAGTTTACTGTACATCTCATCCATGTCCCATGCTAAGTTAGTGAATAAGTATGGTTTCACGCCACTTTTAGCAACATTCCAGCAATATAACGGCGAGGGACAACAGAAATGGGTTTCATACATTGTACTCATGTGGGGAATCGAACCCGGGTCTTTGGTGTGACGATCAAACACTTTAACCACTAGGCTACCTCACCGCATTGTCCTTGCTAAGGATGCACATGTTCAACAATATTTTTGCAATAAAACTAATATAGCATTGTTCACTGATTTTTACAGTGTTGTCTGAAAAGAAACAAAACACATGTTTTGAATAAAAGCCATAATATTATTTAAAAAAGGGCAAGTCACAATATGTCTTAAACTTAAAAATCCACTTATCCCATGAAGGTTATAGACACAATCACATAGGTGAAACCAAAAGACCAAGGTGTAGTCGTGTGACAGACCAAGGATCATCATCTGGGATTGGACCTACAACCAGCAGATCCTCTACCAGAAAGGGAGGCGACCTATGTAGGATACCCATACACAGGATGGCTAATTAAGTTACTTACAGTGAGGCCGGATGTTGTTGTGGTGTTTCCACACACATACACACTCCTAGGGGCGATGTTTGACACAGCCTGCAACATCTGCAACATTGATAACATCATAGCAGGCAGAGACACACTAGTTTCTTGGCCACCTATGAAATGGACTTGATTTTTCCTTACTTATAAATTCAAGTCATATATGACAATAAAATGTATGTTTTAAAGGAGAACCTTCACAGCCCCAAACAATTCCTGCAATCACTACTGATAAAATTTCAATTCTTTAGGACCCGAAATCATAAATGTACAAAAACAGAACAAGCACCACACAGGTTGCTTCCAAAAACAATAACAGCAAGAAGGTACACAAAATATCATCAAATTCCAGCTATATTAAAGAAGTTGAGCACGGCAGAAAAAGGGTTTTCGATTAAAGCATTTGGAATAGTTCATTCCATGTTAAATTTTGGAACTGAACTGAAAAGTATCTTTAGCGGACAACATTCCAATTCAGATGAGATGCCACAGACTTCTTACAGGTTATCACTCCTCCTCTCCCATTGGAACTCGATCAGAAATTATGATTATGATTCAAGATATCTATTACTTATTCAGTTCCTCAAGAATAACTCTCAAAATGATAGCAAACCTGACTCTTCCCCAGCCCTGGGTCGCCAACCACCAGTATGTGTGGATCTCCTCGGACCGGGATACGGTTCTGAAACATACAAAGTAGAAAACATCACACTATTTCAAGTTATTCACTTTTTGATTGTTAAGAAATGCCACATTTTTAACTATTTCACATTCAGTTTTTTGATTCTCAGCTCAGGGACACAAATTTAACTGGAACATTTACAAGACCTTATAGAGATTCCATATAACATACCCCTAAGATACTCAAAATTCTACTTGTAATCAGCATAGCTTTCTCACTAAACTGTCAAGTGGCCATCTTCTAGCTGAACCACTTTATACTGGCAATATGGCCACCTAATTATGCTATGATCAACTCAGGTCCACTACTCTGGGACATTTCTTTGTGGACTGCCACTTTACCATTAACCTGATGGTAACTCTGCAGCAATTCCATTTAGTGGATTAGTGAACTACCCATGATATGACACTAGGAGATTCCTGAGAGTTGTGCAATGAATCCGACATGCTGTAACTGGCAAGAGGGAGGGGGTCAAGCACATACCTTGTCATTTGTGTACTTCTGACCGCCACCAAACATACCCAGCGTCAGGCCAGCCTTCACCAACTGGAGAGACAATCCACAGTGAAAACTTGAAGTTAGGTTTGATACCAATGAAACTGGCCAAGCTACAATTGTCTTTGAGAGAAGAGAGGACTCAGAAATATACAGTAATTAATCAAGCATTATAGCTAAAATATTTCTTCCCAGGAGAAAAACCTCTCTACCAGGGTTCTAAAAAAAGTTAAACTCTATGAATCCTATATTCTTAATACACTTCCTTTGATACTTAATCATGAGTATTGCTGTTTTCTTCTGTTAATTACTGTATTCCCTTTTGTATTGGTTTTTCTAAGATGCCTAGCGGTTAGAACAATCGAAAAATAATACATTATCAGACAATAAAGGTATAGTTTTTTGATGACGTAACAATTGAATGACGTTATCCCGTCACTGCGCCATTCTAGTGTGCCCCCTCGTAATCAAACCATTTTACATTATGTCACAATGTAAGCGACGTCACGATGCATGTCAGTTGTCATCGCCTTGTGTAACGCCTCCCTACAGTAAACTACTCCGTTGCATCACGTTTCTTGGTTTGCAGTTGCTTCACGCAGCTAACATCACTGGTGGAAACATTACGTTTATGTTTTACGATGGTTAAAATGTGTCAATTCGACTCACAAGTTTTCAGCAACATGGTAACGTTCTCAATGTTTACATTCCCACAATGCAATCGTGGAATGTCGCTTGACTACTCAGCTTCATCTGGATGTACTTATCTAAACTTACGTTGGTAGTAAAATAATTCAGAGAATATATTTAATCCGAACGCAAACCGTCATCAAACTGTTATCATTTGTTTTTCTGGTAACGTTCGTCTTAACGTAGGGGGTGCAGACACATCAATAGAACAGCGCGCCAGTTAGCCCTGTGCGAGCATTCTTAATTTAGGTCACCGACACGTCGTTGTTTTCTGCCTTAAATTAATCGTAATTATCCTTAGAAAGTATTACATTTGGCATCTTAGAAAAGAAATACAGTTCGCTCTACCACCATGTATAGTGTAATAAAGCACACTTTTGCCCTGAACTATTATAACGTTAAAGCACTTGGACGCAAGCGTCCTCATCCTTAACTATAATAGTTTAGGGCAAAAGTGTGATTTATTACACTATACATGGTGGTAGAGCGGCAATGATGGTAGAGCGAACTGTATTTCTTAAACATCACACATAATACAAACAAATATTGATCAAAATCGTTTCTACAATGTTATCTTCAAATGGAACCGAATTGCAAAAACTGTATTAGAGGTGCAATGATACAGAAGACCATAGTAGGTATGTAGCTATGTATCATAGTAGGTATGTATTGCTACACTGGTGATGATACAGAAGACCATAGTAGGTATGTATCTTGCTACACTGGTGATGATACAGAAGACCATAGTAGGTATGTATCTTGCTACACTGGTGATGATACAGAAGACCATAGTAGGTATGTATCTTGCTACACTGGTGATGATACAGAAGACCATAGTAGGTATGTATCTTGCTACACTGGTGATGATACAGAAGACCATAGTAGGTATGTATCTTGCTACACTGGTGTTGACACTGGTGATGATACAGAAGACCATAGTAGGTATGTATCTTGCTACACTGAAGACCATAGTAGGTATGTATCTTGCTACACTGGTGATGATACAGAAGACCATAGTAGGTATGTATCTTGCTACACTGGTGATGATACAGAAGACCATAGTAGGTAGAAGATCTTGCTACACTGGTGATGATACAGAAGACCATAGTAGGTATGTATCTTGCTACACTGGTGATGATACAGAAGACCATAGTAGGTATGTATCTTGCTACACTGGTGATGATACAGAAGACTGTAGTGATGATACAGAAGACCATAGTAGGTATGTATCTTGCTACACTGGTGATGATACAGAAGACCATAGTAGGTATGTATCTTGCTATGATACAGAAGACCATAGTAGGTATGTATCTTGCTACACTGGTGATGATACAGAAGACCATAGTAGGTATGTATCTTGCTACACTGGTGATGATACAGAAGACCATAGTAGGTATGTATCTTGCTACACTGGTGATGATACAGAAGACCATAGTAGGTATGTATCTTGCTACACTGGTGATGATACAGAAGACCATAGTAGTAGGTATGTATCTTGCTACACTGGTGATGATACAGAAGACCATAGTAGGTATGTATCTTGCTACACTGGTGATGATACAGAAGACCATAGTAGGTATGTATCTTGCTACACTGGTGATGATACAGAAGACCATAGTAGGTATGTATCTTGCTACACTGGTGATGATACAGAAGACCATAGTAGGTATGTATCTTGCTACACTGGTGATGATACAGAAGACCATAGTAGGTATGTATCTTGCTACACTGGTGATGATACAGAAGACCATAGTAGGTATGTATCTTGCTACACTGGTGATGATACAGAAGACCATAGTAGGTATGTATCTTGCTACACTGGTGATGATACAGAAGACCATAGTAGGTATGTATCTTGCTACACTGGTGATGATACAGAAGACCATAGTAGGTATGTATCTTGCTACACTGGTGATGATACATATCTCATTACACCAAATTAAAACAACACAAGTGCCATGAACAGAAATACTTGTGTATTTCAGCTGAATGAAAAATTCCAGCCGTTTCTTTTGTGATAACTGTTCCCAGTTTATCCCCAAATGTAGCAGGGAAACCAAAATGTTCTCAAATGGTTTGTATTTCAAACTCTCATTTATCGCTGTTTATATAGGGATAAGGTTCCATTTGGAAGGTAAAATGCAAGTATTTTGTACCATCGTGTATCACGATACAGGTAGGTATGTTTTGTGTATCATATCCAGACCAATTATCATTGTGCATCAGAATATGAGAGCACTGTATCACTCCTTAAAATGTACAGCAATTAAATATTGCATCTGAACATCCCAATTAAATACAGTACTGAAGGAGACATAAGCTTTGAAACATTCCACTTGAGACTGAAATCACTTCAGGTCAATGTAACCATGGTAACATACCTCATGTCCATAGATGGTAGGGCACAGTGACCTGCAACAACAGCATCATTATTGTATGACACAAACAGTTCATCTGTTGTAATTGATTAATATCTTTCTACAATTCCCTAACGAGGAATAAGAGAAGTTTCTACACAACTTCAAAGCGTGCTCATTAAATTACTGATTTACAGAAGCATATCTGTAACTTGCTATAGACAGATGCCAAATTATTGCAAAGGCACTGTTGAGAGCCACAGCATTAATGTAAGTCAGTGTTGAAGCTGTGTTACAGTGTGAGTGAGTGATTGAGTGAGTGGCAATCCAATGATCAGCATCACGAACATTGATCTACGCAATTGGGATAAGATAACATGTGTCAACCAAGTCAGCAAGCCTTACCACCCAATCGTCAGTCGCCTTTACGACAAGTACATGTATGGGTTGCTGAAGACCAGTTCTGACCCAGATCTTCACAGGTCAGAAAAAGGTAGTAATACAAAACAAATACTGTAACTAGATCATCCATTAATCAATAGAATAAACTATTTCAAGGTGAAATTGACATCCTTTTTCAGAATAGATTTGATATAGTGTATTATCCTTCCCCATCGGTCAAAGACACTGAGGTTTGATTCCAAACAATTCCCATGTGATGTGCATAATATCCAAAGTAAATACATGATGACAACTGTACTGAAGTGTAATGGACATATTCAGGCACTGAATTCACTTTCCAATCAATCTGTGGTTCCCACTCACCCAACCAGCAGCCTGAAGAGATTGTCTTGACTGTGTATTTCCTCTATAGCGTACAGTTCCTTCATGGTGAAGTCCATGGCAAGCCCAGAGCTGCCCTCCCCTCCAGACTTGTTGCCCTTCAGGTTGCTCACCGAGTTGGCGTGTAGGTACAGTAGGAACATACACTTGTCCTTGTTCCTCCCTTTCCCTGTTACACACAGTACAGTCAGTACACCTGGTAGAGTCAGTACACCTGGTAGAGTCAGTACAGACAGTACACCTAGCACAGTCAGTACACCTAGCACAGTCAGTACAGTAAGTACACCTAGCACAGTCAGTACAGTCAGTACACCTAGCAGTCAGTACAGTCAGTACACCTAGCACAGTCAGTAGACCTAGCACAGTCAGTACACCTAGTACATTAACTACAGCACACCTAGTAGTCAGTGCATTTAGTACGTCCAGTGCAGTTTGTACATTCAGGACCTCCAGTTGTCAGTACACCTAGTACATTCACTACACCTAGGCCTAGAAAGTTTGTACATCTGGAACAGTCAGTACACCCAGTACATTCACTACACCTAGGCCTAGAACTGTCAGTACACCTAGTACATTCACTACACCTAGGCCTAGAACTGTCAGTACACCAAGTACATTCACTACACCTAGGCCTAGAACTGTCAGTACACCTAGAACATTCACCACACCTAGGCCTAGAACACTTAATACACCTGGTACAGTCAGTACACCTAGTACATGCACTAGGCCTAGAACAGTTAGTACACCTAGTACAGTCAGTACACCTAGTACATTCACTAAACCTATAGAACAGTTTAGTAAAAAAAACGTGGTACAAATCAGTGAACCTAAGATACATTCCTCATACACCTAGCCAGTTCAGACATAGTTAAATCTCAGTACATTCGATTTCTAGCATTACATTCACTACACACTAGGCCTAGAACTGTTAGAACAGTCAGTACATCTGGTACAGTCAGTACACCTAGTACATTCACTACACCTAGGCCTAGAACAGTTAGTACACCTGGTACAGTCAGTACACCTAGTACATTCACTACACCTAGGTCCTAGAACAGTTAGTACACCTGGTACAGTCAGTACACCTAGTACATTCACTACACCTAGGCCTAGAACAGTTAGTACACCTGGTACAGTCAGTACACCTAGTACATTCACTACACCTAGGCCTAGAACAGTTAGTACACCTGGTACAGTCAGTACACCTAGTACATTCACTACACCTAGGCCTAGAACTCTTAGTACACCTAGTACAGTCAGTACACCTAGTATATTCACTACACCTAGGTCTAGAACAGTTAGTACACCTAGTACAGTCAGTACACACAGTACATTCACTACACTTAGGCCTAGTACAGTCAGTACACCTAGTACATTCACTACACCTAGGTCCTAGAACAGTTAGTACACCTGGTACAGTCAGTACACCTAGTACATTCACTACACCTAGGCCTAGAACAGTTAGTACACCTGGTACAGTCAGTACACCTAGTACATTCACTACACCTAGGCCTAGAACAGTTAGTACACCAAGTACAGTTAGTACACCTGGTACAGTCAGTACACCTAGTACATTCACTACACCTAGGTCTAGAACAGTTAGTACACCTGGTACAGTCAGTACACCTAGTACATTCACTACACCTGGGCCTAGAACAGTTAGTACACCTGGTACAGTCAGTACACCTAGTACATTCACTACACCTAGGTCTAGAACAGTTAGTACACCTGGTACAGTCAGTACACCTGGTACACCTAGTACATTCACTACACCTGGGCCTAGAACAGTTAGTACACCTGGTACAGTCAGTACACCTAGTACATTCACTACACCTAGGTCTAGAACAGTTAGTACACCTAGTACAGTCAGTACACACTAGTACATTCACTACACCTAGGCCTAGAACTGTCAGTACACCTGGTACAGTCAGTACACCTAGTACATTCACTACACCTGGGCCTAGGTCAACATGTCAGTTACACCTACATTCACTAGGTCTAGAACAGTTAGTACACCTGGTACAGTCAGTACACCTAGTACATTCACTACACCTAGGCCTAGAACAGTCAGTACACCTGGTACAGTCAGTACACCTAGTACATTCACTACACCTGGGCCTAGAACAGTTAGTACACCTGGTACAGTCAGTACACCTAGTACATTCACTACACCTAGGCCTAGAACAGTTAGTAACATTAGAACACCTGGTACAGTCAGTACACCTAGTACATTCACTACACCTAGGCCTAGAACAGTTAGTACACCTGGTACAGTCAGTACACCTAGTACATTCACTACACCTAGGCCTAGAACAGTTAGTACACCTGGTACAGTCAGTACACCTAGTACATTCACTACACCTAGGCCTAGAACAGTTAGTACATCTAGAACAGTCAGTACACCTAGTACATTCACTACACCTAGGCCTAGAACTGTCAGTACACCAAGTACCAGTCAGTACACCTAGTACATTCACTACACCTAGGCCTAGAACAGTTAGTACATCTAGAACAGTCAGTACACCTAGTACAGTCACTACACCTAGGCCTAGAACTGTCAGTACACCAAGTACCGTTAGTACACCTAGTACATTCACTACACCTAGGCCTAGAACTGTCAGTACACCAAGTAACTGTCAGTACACCTAGTACCGTTAGTACACCTAGTACATTCACTACACCTAGGCCTAGAACTGTCAGTACACCAAGTACAGTTAGTACACCTAGTACATTCACTACACCTAAGCCTAGAACTGTCAGTACACCAAGTACAGTTATTACACCTGGTACAGTCAGTAGACCTAGTACATTCAATACACCTAGGCCTAGAACAGTTAGCACATCTAGAACAGTCAGTACACCTAGTACATTCACTACACCTAGACCTAGAACAGTTAGTACATCAAGAACAGTCAGTACACCTAGTACATTCACTACACCTAGGCCTAAAACAGTTAGTACATCTGGTACAGTCACTACACCTAGGCCTAGAACAGTCAGTACACCTGGTACAGTCAGTACACCTAGTACATTTACTATACCTAGGTCTAGAACAGAAAGTACACCTGGGCCTAGAACACTTAGTACACCTGGTACAGTTAGTACACCTAGTACATTCACTACAGAGCACAAAACATTGGCATCAAAACGATCATTTTCGGCATTCACTTTTAGAACTGCAGTTGAAGTATCAAACAGATCGTACTTCGCACTAAGCTAAACTGGTTATTGACATCATTTGAACTGGTATTTCCGATGGATAAATACACCGTTACCGTCATTTTGCAAACACATTTACTACCTAAAATACAGAACCGTTGGCCTGGAAGTACCGATCCATTTTTATTCGATACCGCAGGCTTCAGAACAGTTATTTTCGAAGCTTTGATAAATTTTCATTTATTCGCCACCCCGAACTGGAACTGGGATGAACCTTTATTTCACCACCGACTTCCGTTTCGGACGGCATCCGGGCGATCGTACACCAACACCATTCACCACTTCGAACTGGACGATTAGGCACTCGACACGAATAAATTACACCTAACATTCACCACCACAAACCTTCGACGATTTTTCGCTCTACGAACAGATCCATTTTGGCTATTCGCCACTAGGCTTCGAACAATTCGACATCTGAAGTACGATCCAGTTTTCAAAATTTTGATATACGCCTGACGCTAAGAACAGTTGGCCTGACGCAGTCGTACTGAACATTCGCACACAGGCTTCGACGTTCTACATCTGGTGATCGGCTTTTATTATATTCACCTGAACGCGATTGGTACAGAGCGCGATAAAACACCTGAACATTCACCACTGTTCAGTTCGATACGCTCTGGTACGTCGATACCTAAGAACGATACCGAACTTCGATACCATTTCCCGGTACGGTCGGAAACACCAGAACATTCACTGGGCTTCATTCATTACCGCTCTGGTACGATCCGTACACTTCGTTTTCATTCCGCACACGACTTCAGAACTGGAACCGGTGCATCCGGCACGTCTGCTGTTTGAAACTGGACGTTCATTTTATTTCGATCGTACACGCAATGCCTTTTCGATAAGTGGACCATTTTTTGGAACTGAACTCTGCTGGTACTCGCACGATCCGACACTGGCTGGTACAGTCAGTACACCTAGTAGATTCATTCACTACACCCTAGGCCTAGAACAGTTAGTACACCTGGTACAGTCAATTGCACCTAGAACATTCACTACACCTAGGGCCTAGAACAGTTAGTACACCTGGTACATACAGTCAGTACACCTAGTAACATTCACTACACCTAGGCCTAGAACAGGTTAGAACACCTGGTACAGTCAGTACACCTAGTACATTCACTACACCTGGGCCTAGAACAGTTAGTACACCTGGTACAGTCAGTACACCTAGTACATTCACTACACCTAGGCCTAGAACAGTTAGTACACCTGGTACAGTCAGTACACCTAGTACATTCACTACACCTAGGCCTAGAACAGTTAGTACACCTGGTACAGTCAGTACACCTAGTACATTTACTACACCTAGGCCTAGAACTGTCAGTACACCTAGTATTCTAACAACAGCATACCTAGTAGTCAGTGCATCTTATTCCTCCACTACAGTGTATGGTAAGTACACCTAGTACAACAAGTCCAGACATTACGACCAGCACAAACAGTACAATTAGACAGTACATCTTGTATGGTAAGTACACCTAGTACAACAAGTCCGTACATTACGACCAGCACAAACAGTACAATTAGCCAGTACATCTTGTATGGTAAGTACACCTAGTACAACAAGTCCGTACATTACGACCAGCACAAACAGTACAATTAGCCAGTACATCTTGTATGGTAAGTACACCTAGTACAACAAGTCTGTACATTACGACCAGCACAAACAGTACAATTAGCCAGTACATCTTGTATGGTAAACAAGTACACCTAGTACAACAAGTCACCTAGTACATTACGACCAGCACAAACAGTACAATTAGCCAGTACATCTTGTATGGTAAGTACACCTAGTACAACAAGTCCGTACATTACGACCAGCACAAACAGTACAATTAGCCAGTACATCTTGTATGGTAAGTACACCTAGTACAACAAGTCCGTACATTACGACCAGCACAAACAGTACAATTAGCCAGTACATCTTGTATGGTAAGTACACCTAGTACAACAAGTCCATACATTACGACCAGCACAAACAGTACAATTAGCCAGTACATCTTGTATGGTAAGTACACCTAGTACAACAAGTCCATGACATTCCGACCAGCACAAACAGTACAATTAGCCAGTACATCTTGTATGGTAAGTACACCTAGTACAACAAGTCTGTACTTTACAACCAACACAAACAGTACAAATAGCCAGTACATCTAATAAGGTAAATACACCTAGTACAACAAGTCCGTAAATTACGACAGCACAAACAGTACAATTGGCCAGTACATCTTGTATGGTAAGTACTCCTAGTACAACAAGTCCGTACATTACAACCAGAACAAACAGTACACTTAGTAAAGTCACCACATATTCACAACATAGAGTACACCTAGTGCAACCAGAAGTCAGCACTCTTTATACATCTGGTACAGTCAGTACAGTCAGTATAATCAGTAGAATTTCTTGTAAACATTGTAAACAATGCAACACTAATGTCCCATGAATATTGATTTGATAGTGTGGCAGAGGCCCAGATAAGCTGCGTATCCGGGTAAAATACACATAGAAAAATTCTAATTACACATTGAAAAATAATTGTTGCGTACCAATTACGCATTTAAAATGTTAGATACGCAAAAAAGTTTAAAACAAATGCGTACGGAATATATTTATAAAAATAGTTTGCGTAATGAAAAAGACATCGATTGATATCAAGTTGTACTGTTAGTATAGGACTAGTTTTGTACTGTCAGTAGAGGATGAGTGATTTTTTATGAAATCATTTCCATTATATTTAAGTTGGTTTTGATTAGGTATGATAAAAGGCAGAACATACCTGCTTAGTAAACTTATTCAATGACATAATATTTAGGTGAGTAAAATGACTGAAATACGCACATATTTGAAAGCAGTGGGTAACGGAAAATGAAATACCCACTCAACAGTCCTAATACCCACTCCAAATATACAGTGGGTACTATACCCACATGAGCTAAATCTTATCTGGAGCTCTGGTGTTGAAAATTATACACAGTCACAGTACGATTTTTGTTTCAAGCATTAATAAAACAAAACAAGAAACAACATCATTTTGTTCACAATGATCTGAATGAATTCAAAGCCACTTATGATGATAACATTTCTGCTTCCAATGACCTTGATCAATATGGCAGAACATAGGAAGAAGTTGTTGTCAATGTTGTTCTTACCTTCCTCCACACTGTTGACTTTCACAATACCTAACACAGTCACAATGTCTCCAGGTACACAGCTGTCCACTGGAATACAAGTACATATGTTTTGACACATCTTGTATTTTACATGTCCTTACAACTAAAGTCACCCTCATACACCTAAATATACATGCATAGAAACAACTACCCAAATTAGGAAATGAATTTTAATGCTAAACAAATTGTCCTCAACAAGGGATTTGTTTAAACGAGCACAACCTTCAAGGTACAAGAGACCTTTTTTAATAAAACTAGATACAGGGAGATCTTTTTTAACAAGTTTGAAGACCTGTTCCAACAAGCATGAGGTTCAACAGACCTGTTTCAACAAGCATGAGGTAGAGGACTGACTGACTGAGTTTGGTTTTACGCCGCTTTTAGCAATATTCCAGCAACATCACGGTGGGGGACACCAGAAATGGGCTTCACACATTGTGCCCATGTAGGGATTCGAACCCGGGTCCTCGGTGTAACGAGCCAACGCTTTAACCATTAGGCTTGAGGTAGAGGAGACCTGTTTCAACAAGCATGAGGTACAACAAACCTGTTTCAACAAGTATGAGGAACAAGAGAGATGTTTCAACAAGCATGAGGAACAAGAGAGATGTTTCAACAAGCATGAGGTAGAGGAGACCTGTTTCAACAAGCATGAGGTAGCAGGAGACTTGTTTCAACAAGCATGAGGAACAAGAGAGATGTTTCAACAAGCATGAGGAACAAGAGAGATGTTTCAACAAGCATGAGGTAGAGGAGACATGTTTCAACAAGCATGAGGTAGAGGAGACCTGTTTCAACAAGCATGAGGAACAAGAGACTTGTTTCAACAAGCATGAGGTAGAAGAGACCTGTTTCAACAAGCATTAGGTACAAGAGACCTGTTTCAACAAGCATTAGGTACAAGAGACCTGTTTCAACAAGCATGAGGTACATGAGACATGTTTCAACAAGCATGAGGAACCTGTTCTTCCATGGATGCCATGAATCATTTCTAACAAACCTGACACATTAAATTCAACATAATTCCTCACCTAAATCTGCTGTGAGTTCACTGTCTATTGTCCGAGGTATCCGTCCAGATTCCTTTTGACCACCATCTCCCATAATTTCCTGAACCCTGAAACAATACACATCTACTTTGATCACTCAGAATTAAAATTAAGTGAAATGGTAAAATATATTCTAGAAGAAATAAAGTTTATATCGACATGGCACATATAAATTCTATTTACAAAATAACCATCCCTTTATTATATAAATTCTGCAAGGTAAGAACCTTGTACTTTACCTAATTGTCTGCCAATCAATAGTCTCAGTCTGACTTGAGTTTCGTTGTGGGATGAATGTCTTTCCTCTGCATTGTTGAGCAGGACACTGATGCAAAGAAACTCACGATAAAAACACAAGCTAAGTCAAAGATGTTCAAAACACATAACATAGCTTAAGTGAATGAGTTTAGTTTTACGCCGCTTTTAGCAATATTCAAGCAATATCACGGCAGGGTACACTAGAAATGGGCTTCACACATTGTGCCCATGTGGGGAATCGTACCCAGTCTTCAGCGTGATGAGCGAACACTTTAACCACTAGGCTACCCCCATCGCCCCCATATAGCTTAAGATGGGGTGGGCTGCTTGGGTTGTATACTCCCCAGGGTGCTGAGAATGACATTTGAGAGCACACTGATCCATTGACCAGAGTAATCATGGTGTAGACCATCGACTAGTATGATGATCGTAAATATCCTTATTACCATATTGTGTCATGTAGAGATCCAAAGGTATAGAAGTCTGCAAGGCAAACACTTAAAATGACATGGAAAGGAATGGTAAAACACTAATTTCCTGAAGTTATTGATATGTTCTGCTTTTGACATCCATCTTTTCCTTTAATAACAAGAAATGGCTGAATATATTTCTTTAAGTGACAGCTTGTGAATAATAAAGTCTGATTTTGTAAATAATCTGATATCGTGACTGATATGTTGAGCAACACTCTACACCTTTGGGTTATGACGACATGGAATCAACCGTCACAGATACAGACCACCATCATGTCACCTCTGACGACCAGCATAGGTTGCGGAGGACCAATTATGATCCAAATTCCCATGAATGACCTTCCTTCTAAGAGGTATTGCTTTGTCTCTTAAACAGACTCACTCATTAACACCACATCATTCTTTTCTTACCTTTGTGGGGACAATGAACTTTCCATCAGGCAATGATATACTCTGCAGAATAGGAAGGAGTGAGTGACAAAGGTTTTACACAACTTTTAGCAAAATTCCAGCAACATTACAACCAAGATAACAATAACACCAGAAATGCACTTCAGATATTGTAAACATATAGGGAATCAAACACGGGTCTTCTCTATGATGAGCAAACACTTTAACCACTAGGCTACCCCATTGCCCCAAAATTTCATCAAATGACATGTATACATAATAGTACAGCTGACAAAATGAACTGCGATAAAAGAAGGTCACACAGAGACCATCATAGATACTACTCGAAAGAAGTTAAGGCACTCAATTCTTTTAAGTTATTCAAGTTAATCTCTCATGGCATGACAGAATGACTATAGCAGGGATTAGGAAAGGCAGGGGCCATGGGCCATTTTGCACATAAGAATAAAAAATGGCCCATTAAACATTTGAAGTTTACTATTGATACAAGGGCAGTGGCCCATTCAAAATTCAGAAAATGGCTAATAATCCTTAAAATGGCCCATTGTCAAAGTTATCTATCCCAATCCCTGCTATAGTAATATGAAACAAAAGTGTGGTTCTATTCAACTTTTAAGAAGTATAGTTAAGCAGGTTTGTTATATCTTGAGATTGTTTGTTGTTGAAGACAACAGTAAACATTATCCCAGCCATGTAATGGCAGCTTTGTCCCACGCTGTTGAGATTCAATGTCACAACGTCAGTGAGTCTGACCACCATGTCTGTCACCTCTTATGACAAGCATGAGATTCCAGAGGCCTTCTTTCATGAAGGATTCCTGTCAGTTAATATCATGAACTCATGCATCATGACTTGACTGGTACTCAACATATGTTGATCATATAACTATAATGTACCAAGTAGTATCTTCCACATAAGAAAACTAATTCACCATCACTGTATGGATATTCATTTCAGTTACCCATTACATTGACATATTATTACATGTCATTCACAAAAACTGTATAACTTTGACTGTGAGGCAGTTACTCGCTAGACATCACCACTGTTCACTAAGTGTAAGAGATGGAACACTGACCTGTACAGTTCCACAGCTGGCACACTCAAACGCCATAGCGGTGCACAGTGGCTTGATGTTGCTCACCCTCACAACGGTACCCTTCACACATACAAACTTCCCTGCAAAGTAAAATCAAATCTCCAGAAAATGATGGAAATCCAAGCTTGGAGAAATTCAGTACCTCTCCCCATCGACATATGACAAACCCCCTATATGTCACATCAAGTGAACTTAGAATGCAGTCTTACCACCTAATCAAAATGAAAGATGCATGGTTTGAGGGTCAGTTAATCAATTAAGAGCTTGTTTAAGCAATTTGGCTTCACTATATTCCTAATTTTACAAACAGTCTAATACCAGTCTCAGTTTCTGTCTCTGATTTGGAACATTTGGTCTAAACATAGGAAAACAAATGATGCTTTAGTAAAGAACCATTTTGGGTGAAAATGTTATGGCACAAAAAAGTTGATTTAATTGCTATTTACAGCAAACCACAATGGGATCTTTGTGCTACGTCGATCATAACTCCTGTTCTTTGAACAATGACCATCGTGTTGAACTCAATATCTCGGTTGTCTCGAAATAACATCTTGGTCACAGCAAAATCCTTCATAATTTATCATTATTATCATTATTACACATGTCTCGATATTTCGGATATCTCGATATAATTTCATGGTCCCAACAAGCAAAATTACCCTTTAAACTCGATATTTGCACAGAAACTCGATATTCACCTACCTTTCATGGGCAAGTATCCCTCTTAACTGAGGTTGTTTCCTCACGTTTACACACGGTGCGACAGGAATCAAAGGGATGCAGTAGTGTAAACTAATTAGGGCTAATTGAGTTGAAGGTGTCACTTGTTTGTTATTTAAGAAGGATTACTTAAGAAGGAATTAATTAGGAAGTACTCACTGTTACGACTAAACACTACTGATAATGGATTATAGTTACGAATCAAAACATACAGAGAATACAATGAGGATTTTGTGTAATCACGTGACTAGCATGTGATTGTTGAGTTGTTTCTAAATCTTGTATCTTTCAAGATGGACACTGTAACATGTGCTGTATCGTGTGTGATTGTGATCTCTGTGAGTAAAAATGTATATACAAATAAATATACTAGTACATCAATACTTTTTGTTTTGTTTTCTTTCATAGTGATATGTGATGATATGGCATGGTCGGATGTCTCGAAGTTCGGATAACTAGATATTTATTCTTGGTCCCATGAATATCAAGACAACGGTGCTTGACTGTATTTGAAAGGACAAATCTTCTTACAGTTACTTAAAGTCCAACTTGATTTTTTTAAAATAAGTCCACAATGTTTCCATGGAAACCATGAAAAATATAAATGCCAGAAATATGTAAATAGCAAAAGGCACCACTTCAAGATCTGTCTGATATATCTGATAAGCCTTGTAGAAAGATATGGAAGGTTTTCAAGTTGTGCTCCGGAAACCCACCCCTCCTTTTCAGACTAAGTCCGAACTGTTTCCATGGAAACCAAAAAAAATAAAATGAAACAATCTGTAAATAGCAAAAGACACCACTTTAAGTTCTGTTTGATATATCGACCAAGTTTTGTTGAAAGATATTGAACGGTTTTCAAGTTGTGCTCCAGAAACGAAGTCCATCCCTCCCTTTTGAGGCTAAGTCCAAATCGCTTCCATGGAAACCAAGAAAAATATAAAATGACAAAAATATGTAAATAGCAAAAGGCACCACTTTAGGTTCTGTTTTATATATCTATGTATTTTTGTTGAATAGTTTTGAGTCATGCTCCAGAAACAAAATGATTACTAATAAGGAACCCCACTGAAATAAATCACAGTATGCGGTTCCAGTACGGACGGACAGACAGATTAATATATAACAAGTTTTAGCAGCTTCTTTATTTTCGTTGAACTATATCCCCGAGCATGTAATGCATAATAAGGAACCGACTGAAATAAATCACAGTATGCTAGCAGTTCAAGTACAGAATACTAGTTGTAGGAGTGGATCATAAGCAGATGGAATGAAGTATCAACTTGGGTAATATAATCATGTACTTACTGGCTTCACAATAAATAGGAATAGTTGTTTCTTGTTCTTACCATAACAGTTATATATGCAGCTCCTTTACATTTTTCAGAGGTATGGGTTGTGCAAAATTGACAACCCTAGCGTGAATGACAGGCACTATGACATCACCGACTACTGCTTGGCTGCTTTCCCCATCCCTCAGGTCAGCGTCAGCCTCTCTTTCATTCTGCTGACAAATGGACTGGAACACGATGTTCAAACATTGCAATCAGGAATTTGTGAACATCATTTTCATGCAATAAATACATAATGTACCAGTGTATCAATGTTATTTTCAATTACTTTTATCACACGAAATTAAACCTGGGAAATTTCAGAGAAAGTGATGTTCATGTGTGCCCATGAAAAATTATGAGGTTCCCACTCACGTCAGGGGGAGATAACTCCAACAGATAGCAACTTAGAGGTGAGGTGAAATTGGGTTTAACGTCGTGCTTGAGAATATTTTGCTCATATGACGATGTGCATGCGTGTGTATGTGTAGCTGGTTTTATAGTGCTAGCCCACTGAGATACCATGCCGCAGTGAAGCAGAAATACCCTACTCAGACACATTATACTGACTCCGAGCCGACCAGTCCTTGTTGTACCCATTAATGCTGAGCGCCAGACAGGGACCAACAAGTACCATATTTTAACGAATTTTGGTATGACGCGGTCGGGGATCGAACCCGCGACCTTCCGCTCTCCGGGCGGACGCTCTAACCACTACACCACGGAGGCGGTCAGATAGCACTTAGAAGACCATTAGGAAGGAAGACAATACAAGATGATGGATGTTAATTTTATTCAAGTTAAACCTGTGGATCAGAAACAAGTTTTAGGAAATAAGGAAATCAAGTGTTAGAGGATGTAGAATTTGTCATACATTGATGACCTGTGCCAGGTGCTCATTGAATAAAGGGTACTCTGACAATAAAGTGACTTCATACATGTCATTTTTACACTTACATGGTGCATAGCAAGCCCCATGCAGGCCAGAATACTGTCAGGCATTTCTCTCATCTGTCCAGCCAGCTCTGGGAGGCCCTCCATCAATACTGAAACACATGGTGAGTGAGTGGATGGGTGTGATTTTATACCACTTTTAGTAGTTCAGAGGTACAGATAAGCTGCGTATCTGCGTAAATTAGGCAAATATTTATGTATAAACTCCATTCCTATTAAGTCTGTTGCGTACAAGTATGCCTGAATCTTTGGAAATACTCAATTAATTTGATCTTACATGCGTACACGGAAAAATGTCAAATCTTAGCGTGGAGGTTACTGAGGATAGATCAAATAACTGAGGTATATTGAGAGGTTCTATTTCAGCACATGAACTTGGCAACTTGCAGTCTTTCTTATCGTTTCTCATATTACTGATCAACTATAAATAACAAACACGTAAACCAACATTTAATCTATATTATATTTTTATAATTACCGGAAAATGGCAAAATACCTAATTGCGTTTGAGTGAGGAGGGTACAATATATTTGGTAAAACATCTCTACTATATCAAAATGGCAGAGGACTATTGGATAGCCTGTAGTATTAGACACCAAAGGTTCCAATCCTGCAGGGGCAGTCAGGTAGCCCAGTAGTTAAAGCATTCGCTCATCATGACGAAGACCCGGGTTTGATTCCCCACATGAGTACAACAAATGAAGCCCATTTCTGGTGTCCCCTGCCGTAATATTGCTGGAATATTGCTAAAAGTGGCGTAAAACTAAACTAACTCACTCCAGTCCTGCTGGTTACACACTTTATCACCATCAGCAAAGCCAATAATAGTAAGCTAGAAGTTCCCTCATTTCCACATTATGTTCAAGTAATGATTAGTTACCTCTTCCATTGTTTCAAACAAAGGAGCCATGATATAAAATATCATAAATGATACTTACACTGGTCTGATGACAAATCCTTGAAGTCGACTGTAAAAAATCCTTTCACTTCAATTTCAGACTGAAATGAAAGGTATAATATCTTAACAGCCTCAAGCTAACAAAAACAAATGTCTTACATGGCAGTCGTGGTTTAATGACATAGCCAAACTAAGTGCCCTTTGCAGGCAAATTGAAAAAGCCTGGGTTTTTAAGATTTTACTTTCCTAAATAAAGAGATATTTAACATTAAATTTAACATTCCATTCAATGCAATTATGTTAAACTATATAAATTGAACAATAATGTAGGATAGCTTCTTCCTCTATATTGGTCCTGTTGTCAGTGTTATATAAGTCACTTCTACAAAGACAGAAGATTGGATATAACTGAAAGTGCATGAATTTGGAAAGGTTTGATTCCTATTTGGGAGTTTTCATTGACATTGCTGCAGCCTCTGAGGTGAATGTCAGGCTCTGAGCAAGTTGATGTAAACAGCATCAAGGGGGAAACCACAAAAGGAAGAGGATATACCATGATTTCCAACACATAGTTAAAATATTGTCATTGGCAAATGGATTTCAAACTAATGCCCCTGAAATCCACAGTACAGCATCTTGTCCTCTTTATCAACTTTTCATCTCAAAGGTCACAAGGAAATGTGTAAATACCCTAGTAAATTTTTTAACTTACTAATTTAAACATCCCTGACCAGCTGAGGAAATACTTTTCAAATAGTTGAACCTTCTTCACAGTTGGCGAGTGGTCAGAGTACCCTAGAAGAAAATTCAGCATGTCAGTACATCAATAAACAAGTGATAAAAACCTTTTGAAAGTAAAACATGTTTGTCATACAGTGAATCTCCTTGATATTCCAGTCTAACCTGGATAAACACCTAAACATTATCCATTTTAAATCTGGGACTTGAACTTTGAATCACAGGTAGCAGGCCCCCCTAATTATGGAGTAAGATTTCTCAGCCATGCCACTGTAAGGCTTGCACACTTGAATGTTCTAAAAACATAGTGTCAGAGACTGATATGAGTGAGTTGTTGAGCAATAGTTCAGCCACATAGCACATAGTGGGCATAGAAACTATCAAAAATATATTACACTGAGTGATCTCTCAAAAGTAATATTGATTAAGTGAAATATATAGACTTTGATGGCATATAACCATAATGCAAAGCTATTTAAACATAAACTATCTTGGCCTTTTACAGAAAAAAATATAATTTCACAGAATATATTATTTTACAAAAATCAAACAGTTCTGTTACTAGTGTTAGCACAAATGCCTAAACCATATCAATCACAGGATATGTCAATGCTACCTTCATCTGGAAAATATATTTTCCATCCTTTGTAAGGTGAGGAAACTTCAAGGCGAGTCTGGACCATTGGTTGACGATGAGGACTTGGATCATCCATTAATCTCATGCTCCCCTGAGAATTCTGTGAAGCTGTTAATAGTTTTGGTAATTTTGTACAAATCAGTAATTAGATTATCATCAACGTTTTTGTGAAGGTGAGAAGGTGAAATTAAAAGGCATGATACATTCTGAATTTATAATTCAAAGCAAATATCACTCAAAGAGGTCTAAAACCTATTTATAGTCTAGGTCCAGATGTCTTAACAAAAGCACAGTGAAAAAATGTCACCATCACCATCCATAGAAGCAATTGTTAGCTTGCTACATAGATATTCAGTAAACTCTGTTCACAACAACACACACAAAAAAGTGACTGATATAACAAAATGTTGGGTTTTTTGTCCTGGCTATTTGCTGCATGTTTCATCATATAAAACTGGTGGATATAATGAACATGTTTTAATCTCCAGTTTCTTCTGTCATTTCCCCTGTAACTGACCGATATAGCAAATTTACTTTGTGGTCCTGCGTGTGCTTTGTCAATGACAATGTTTATAATGAACTGGCAATCGCTGAGATGCTCACATGTTTCCAATCAGACTATAATAAATTCTGTGGTCATGATCTGCTGTTGAGGACAACACAGAACAACTAAATGAAAATGATTAACTGGATAAAATTGTCTTACTTTTTCCGCAAATAATTATAAGCAAAACAGTGATTAGTCCATAGCCTTTCAAATGGGCAATGCACTCTCCACCAGACCATTCTTTTAACTAATGTTCAAAGCAAAATAACTGGTTTCCTCACTGATGGCAAGTAATTCTTGTGTCTATGTGAATAATTCACTGAAACTGTCTCAATAATATATTCATGACATGTATTTACTTGTCTGATGTATGATGAATAAACATAGTACATATTATACATTGCACACATCTGTCATTTATCGAGTCACAGGAGGTTGTCACATGACTTGATGCAAGATGTCTGACAGTCAGTAATGAACTATGGTTATAATGAACTAAATTCATGCTCCCTTTGAGTTTGTTATAACTTATGTCTATTTTATAACTACTGACTGACTGACTGAGTATGGTTTAACGCTGTTTTTAGCAATATTCCAGCAATGGGCTTCACAAATTGTACCCATGTGGGGAATCGAACCCGGGCCTTCGGCGTGACGAGCGAACGCTTTAACCACTAGGCTACCCCACCGCCCCTTTATAACTACTATCTAACTGTATTTAACTCTGCAGACATGGACGTGGTGGTCCGATTAATTGAAAAATTCGAAGATTGGTCACAGTGACTAAACGACCAAGCAACTGATCATGTTTTCTCATAATCGAACACAAACAATTTTGGAACACTTGTTTACGTTAATAATATTTTTCACAAGGTTGGTTTTGTTTCTTACATTTCATGAGCACTACAAGCTTGTTCCAAGTCATGATTGAATTTATCTTAAAGACTCCAAGAAATTAATGTTCCTAACATACTAGTCGTTTTTTAAAGATGCGAAATTTGCAAATGCATTTTGTGCAATTTGCAAAAATCCCGAAGAACTACATGGGGTTTTTTCTTTACTTTTTGTCCATTAACTAAAATAAATGATGCTAACCAACTATTTTCGATGATTGATCGGTTGTAATGAACCAATCATCAATTATGAGATTTTAACCAATTCCCAGCACTAGATACTGCAAATTAGTCTCAAGCTAGTCTGTCTTACTTGTTATGCCAATAACGACTTACAATTTCCCCTTCCTCTCCAGTTTCCTCTTCCATTTCCTCTGTTGCCATACTGCTTGAAATATCCACCCCTGCCACGCCCACGCCCCCAACCCCTTCCTCTCCATTGCCCGCCACGGCCCCAGCCTCTTCCACCTCCACCATGGGTTTGACTTTGGCTCATTGTTTTCTGTAATGATTAGAAGAAGACGATGTTAGAAGATTGAAAGAATCCAGCAATGTCAAATAAGAAGTGTCACAGAGGCAAGCGAGATCACTGATCAGTGACCACACCAAAGCCGTAGAATGCACTTTACCGGTCGCAGCCCTCGCTGCTCCCTTTACGATCCTTAGGGTTAGGGTTTAGGGTAAGGGTATGCCACCCTTTACGATCCTTAGGGTTAGGGTTTAGGGTTAGGCACCCTTTACGATCCTTAGGGTTAGGGTTAGGGTTAGGGAACACCAGCAGCGCTAATTAATCTGAAAAAGTGCGCCCGGTAAAGTGCAGAATCAACGCTATGGCTGTGCAGTCTGGTGCTTCATCATTATTCGGGTTTGCCTAGATTTGGGTTAATTGCCACATCTATCATATTGATACACTTACCTATGCTTCATTCGAAGTGTTATTTGGCATTCTCGTCCATTCGGCAGTGCTTATTATGCAATATTATAGTTCATGTTTTGATTTTGCCGCCTGCAGGGGATGTGTTTTGGGGGGAGACAACTCTCAAAATTAACCACATGGTCAAATTTGCAACCCACTAAAAACACCATTCTGTTTTTCCAAAACCTTAGCTATTGTAGAAATGCTACATTTTCAGATTTAGTTTGTACACGGCGATATATTATGTAAATTATCTGCATATATAGGTCGGCATGTTTCCTTCTGCAATTGGTTCAAATTGTAAGACAATTCAAAATCAATGTGCAAAGAAATATCACTGATATCATAATATATTACTTTACCATATATACGGTACGTATGTCAAGTGTAAGGGAAAACGATATTATAAAATAACATCACAATATACCAAATATCAAATATATTACAATCGTGCGTGTCTTAATAAATAGTAATTTCCCTTATTTTTTGCCCCAACACCACAGAAGCGTGTTAAATCCCCCATCCCAAATGCAATATTTATCCTTCAACCCCACCTACCCATACGCATAAACACGGAACTGTGGCGAATCTTCATCACCCCTACCTACTACACCAGTAACATAGTACCTGTCTCTAAATACCAGATGTGATATTTTTTCCATAATGGATTTAGAGGCTTTATAAACGAGGGATATGGGGTGTATACTTAACAGCTGGAATTGGTTACCTTGCCAAAGACAGGTGTTATTAAACGGTAAAGAACACTTCAGTTCCACGCACCATTTTTGTTATACACAGTACAAATCCCCACATGGGCACAATGTGCGAAGCCCATTTCTGGTGTCCCCCGCCGTGATGTCGCTGGAATATTGCTAAAAGCGGCGTAAAACCAAACTCAGTCAGTCAGTATACACAGTACACGGCCTATAATAAAACATATAAAAAATATATTTTGTCAAGAAATATCGAGAACAAATAGTCACTTGTGAATTTGTGAGTTGTGATAGACAATATTTTGGCGTAACAAACATCGGGACTCCGGATCAGAATCGATGTAGTATGACAACCAATAGATTAGAGCCTTATTCTGATGACGGTTTCAACAGTAGTTCATAGAAATTCCCGACATGGCCTGAGATCCTGACATCTAATAAAGGGACGAAACTCTGTGCGTCGAGTTGCGTCAACGAATACGTTTGAGTGCGAGCCTAATTATTATCAAATCACATGTAAATATACTCCCAAGGGCTTCACCCATCCTTGTGGGATAGCGAGAATTTCGTCCAAGAGACAATCAATAAATAAATATATATAACACATCATCAATTAGTTATCACATTTGATTGCATATACTGAAACGAAAAAATATATATGTTTTTTACGCATCTGTAACCGTTAGCTCAGCAGGACCCATGTGTTCTTTATGAATCCAAGTTGTTCAACATTTTAATAGGTGATATTAGTCTGTCTCACAGTCCCCGAACAACATTATTTACCCAGCCTTTTTCAATGCAAAATTTAAGTCTAGATTGTCCTCAGGATTATCTACCTATCCGGGGCTCCTGTTCAGTTTTCATGTAATTACTGACGATTTTCATGTAATTACTGACGACATTTTAATATTGTCATAGTAATTACTGACGACATCATAATATTGTCAGAGCAATTTGCTTAACGTTTATTGACTAACTCTCTGAATGAGTACGTGTGGTAGTTTATTTATCCATTAACGTGCGATACACTATGGCTGGATAAACGAGTATTTTACGTATGAATATGTTTTATTTATTCTTTTGACGGTTTATTGAAGAAATGTGTGATTTCCTATTTGGTTCATCAAAGCTGACAAGTACTTAATTTCTTCCAAACAGAATGTTGTTGTTTTGGGTTTGTTTTGTTTGTTTTGTTTGTTTTGGGGGGTGACAGGTTATCGTATTCACTATTTGGCCGGAACATCTCGGGTATTTACTAATTAATACGTTAAACAGAATGGTTATAGAATATTACATTAGTGTAGTTTTTTTCGAACGAAAAGTCCGAACACGGTAACTGGGACATTCACATCTCCTCTAATATAATCAATTTACTTTGCAGCGTGTAAATTTCACCCTAACTGAAGTCAGAACACATTTCATTATTTGTAAACAAACATTTTCCACAAAGGAAGCACGCGATATTATGAACTCTGACCCATGAGTTAGCACTAATACTTTGTTTTTTCCAATTCAACGTTAATGGCTCAGACTATCGAGGTCATGTACTGGCGTATAAGTAGAGAATAAAGTTATTTTCAAAGGGGAGCAACGTTTTCAGCATGCACGGCACATGCAGCTCGCGCGGGTCACCGGTCACCTGCAGATCGCAGCGCCATCTACCGGTAAGATTTAGCTCAAGGTGGTGAGTTCGCGGGAACTAAAATAAAGGGACTTTTCAGGCAGTTTACGATGGAAATGTGCAATATGGTAGTTATATTTTTAATAGATGGTTATATCTAGGTTGAATAAGGAGGGTCAACATGCATAATTTCAACTTTTCCCCACCGCTTTTGGCCTGAGATCACGGGCACTCTCTCGCTGCCAAACCAACAAATATGGCGGACGGCAGTGAGATCGAATCGGGCCTTTTGATGGAAGTGACAACAGCCCCTAGCACCCTTAGTCAGGCCGCCCCGGTGCAAATCGTATCGGTGACGGATGGGCATGTGTCAGTCCCGAGTGAGGGTCAGGTTGCTGAAGATATTCTTCAGCAGGCCTTCGTAGGAGCAGAAGATTTTACACCAAATACTGTTGAATACACAAGTGGCGAAACAGTGGAAGATACATCTGTCGCTGCTGAAATTGTAAACAATGTTATTGCCGAAGACAGTTTGGTCACAAACGTTGCAGATTCGGTGGCAGAAACCACAACTTTCACAGGTGTTGAATATGGGGTTGTTGGGACAGAATCTGAGGTGGGAAGTGCGGAAGTAGCGTTAGTGGAAGAAGGGGAAGAGAATGGCATGGTTCAGTCAAATGGCAACACAGTAGTAAGTGTAACGTCAGTGATGGAACAGACTGAACCATCAGATTCCAATAGTCAGACTGTTGTTGCCAGTAGTCAACAAGCACAGACAGGAAGTGTCAGTGTGGCTGTCATCCCAGGCACAGGACCAAACCTTGGCTCAAGTCATAACCCCATTCGCATCATCCAACAAGGAAATCAGTACACACCGGTTCAACAACTGACTGCTGAGCAACTACAGCAGATAATGCAAGTAGTGCAACAACAACAACTTGCCAAAAGTACATCACAAGGTGGTGGGTCAAGTGTTTTGTTCAATCCACAGACTAATACACGGATAGTTTACCGAGTCATCTATCCATCAGAACTGCACAAAGGTGGCACTGCTGTGGTGACAACGTCAACAGTGTCGCAGGGGCAGCAGGATTTACTTGGTGGTCATCATAAGAGACCATACAGAAGGCGAGTCCGAGAAGATGAGGATGATAAAGTTGAAGGACCAGAACTTTCCAAGGAGGAAAAGGAGGAGAGAAAAAAACATAGACCTAGAACAAGGTCAGGTCGGGGTGTCAAAACCTCCCAAGCACATGATGAAAGACTATAAACATATCCATGTTTTGGACTGGGATGAAGATTATGATGATTCTGATGGAGGCTACTCAGACTACAAATGCAGTGATGAGGAGAAGCGACGCAATGAAGAAGGGGAGGCCTTGGAGAAAGAGGAGGCTACATATGTTTATCCAGGTGTGTATTCATTATTATCAGAAGCAGTCACTAAAGTGTTTGCAGCTATTGTACTTTACCTGCTGCATCATTATGTCTATCACAGGGCCCTACTCACTGGCCATGTGCTTTTAGGTAACTGTTCCAAATGGCCTAATTGAACTGTAGCTTACCCTATCATCTCACCTAAGGGCTACTGAGTGAGTATGCATGGTTTTATGCTGTTTTAGCAATATTCCAGCAACATCACAGTGATACCAGAATTGGGCTTTACACATTGTATGCATGTGGGGAGTCGAACCCAGGCATTCATCGTGACAGGCGAACACTTTAATCACTGGGCTACCCCACTGCCCCCATAAGGACTACTGTATTTCGACGTTTTAATCCCTGTTAAGGTCCAGACCAATCTTATATATACCACCTACTAGGGTGGACAATTTGTATGACAGTCTGTATTTTCTTGTGTAGATGACCGATAGGTAGATGTTTATCTGTCAATAGTTAGGTAAGAGTTCCTCCCGTTCCCCCATCCCAAATAATATATATAAATATTCTAGAATTATAAACAAAACTTAACACAACAATTACTAGAGAACTCACAAAATGATTAAAAGTCCAAAATTTAAGTTAGGGCTAGGTTTAGAGTTTGGTTTAGAGTTGGGGGAACGGAAGGAACTCTTTCCGCTAAAATACTGTTAACTTGATGTATATGATACAAGTGCACAAAATTATACAGCATATTTGGTCAGGTAAACACATGACCACATTGTCCAACTGCAAAAGTGGTTGACTGGATGCATGATGTTGTGAATTATTTATGTTAAGGTGAGATAACCCTTCCAGATCTCCACACAAGCAGCATATTTACATCAACAACCTGAAATAAATTACCATGACCCTATTTATTTTAAAAATAAAAAAATATACAAAAATATTTTGAATACCTTGTCTTGAGGAAGCTAAAGGTAACATGTAAATTCCAAATGGCTTAAAATATTATCTGGCACCCCTTTCCTGAACCAATTAAACATGCTTAAGATTGATTTGGATCATTCTGTCAACGTTGAGTGAGATGACAGGAGGTTGGTATCAGGATGTCAATAGTGTCTTCTTTTCTTTTTTCAATGCAACCGGCTTACATTGGCTTAGATGTTGACGAGCAATGTAGCGATTGGATGATTTCATCATAATTGTCCCAGTGAAGAAATACCAACAACAAAAAATAGTTGCCTTTATTTCTAGGTGACATGGATGTCACTTCATCGTTAGAAGTAATATCATGTCATATTGATGTTCCTTAAGTAATTTACATCCTCTGGATTCTTGTTAGCAATCCAAAGTGCACCGTTATTAAACATGTAACCTACTTAAATCTTTTGGAAAAGCACCATGTGGATGTCACTGTTTGAAATATAGAGTGACGGATGTGTTGTCCTTGTCAACTTGTCAAAGGAAGATTTAGAGCATATTCTTTTAACGTAAACCTTTTGGCTTGCTGCACCCTCCTTAATTTTTAACAGCCCTTGTAGAGGTTCATGCTCACGTTCAATGCCCCTCATGCCCCGACTATGGGAATGTTAATTTTGTTATTGTCAAACTGTAACATGCTTGATTCCATGTTATACAAGGGATTTCTGGATGGTTCCAAACAAGGTCCCAGTTGCAGGCAATTTGGAGGGAGAAATCTGTATTTTGGTCACATTGGTCAACCAAATACAACTAACATGTACAAAGTCAGAGCATTAGCTGTTGCTATATTCTAACATGCAGAGCTCCAGATAAGATTTAGCTCATGTGAGTACTGTACCCACTGTATTTTTTGGGAGTGGGTATTATGAATGTTGAGTGGGTATTTCTTTTTCTGTTACCCACTGCTTTCAAATATGTGCGTATTTCAGTCATTTTACTCACCTTAGTATATGCCATTGAGTAAGTTTACTAAGCAGGTATGTTCTGCCTTATGTCATACCTACCGTAGATTTCCGTCTATAAGCCGAATTTTGAGGACAAAAAAAAGCAGTCTGTAGAAGGGGGTCGTCTTATCCATGGGTTACGCTTTCGTCAAACTTTTTTCCAGGGGTAAGAAAACAACATCGTATCACTTCACGTGAACAAACAACAGAAGACGACTTTGTCAGTAGAGACGTCAAATTTGCAATTAAACATCACTAGACAAGATTATTTACCTTTTAAGTTCTAAGTTGTTTTTGCTAGCAATGTATTATTTGCAGGGATTAAGATTATTGTGTGTATCTGAGCCGGAAATAGCAATCAGCTGTGCACGTTTCCCGGCGATCAAGTTCAAACATGCACAATAATATAACGGGACGAATTCTGACGCAGTCGTCAGTAAAATATAATACAGAGTACTATTATTTAACCCAAAGAAATATAACCTAACATTGTGTAATTTTAATTACAGTTTTTATGTAAAATATATATAATCAACACTAAGGTTATACAGACCCTCATGAACGTGGTAAGCAGAAGTTGTACGCACATGGAATGGGGTAAAATATGGAAGCCATTTAAATTCACACATTTTTACCAATGTTACTGTGAAGTAGCAGTCAATGGAAAACGAGGCGGTAATCAAAACCAACTTAAATATAATGGAAATAATTTCATAATAAATCACTCATCCTATACTGACAGTACAACACTTGTCCTATACTAACAGTACAACTTGATAGCAATCCATGTCTTTTTCATTACGCAAGCGATTTTTATAAATATATTCCGTACGCATTTGTTTTAAACTTTCTGTGTATCTAACATTTTATATGCGTAATTGGTACGCAACAATTATTTTTCAATGCGTAATTCTATGCGTATTTTACCCGGATACGCAGCTTATCTGGGCCTCTGAACATGAATTGAGAAGTTTGTAATTCCAGTTATCTTTTTAGATTTGGATTACCTGTCATGCTTATCCTTTAGTGATTGTTTGAAAGAATAGTTAGAGAATGTACCCAACCTGCTGGATGTTACAGGTCTTGGTTCAACCCGCCCCAAGAATTACAAGTGTGACACTTGTGAGAAGGCGTATATCGGACAAGCGGGTTTGAGTCGACATTATCGCCTAAATCCTTCACATGGCTCCATACCTGAAGGAGAACAGGAAGACGACAGGAGTCAAGATGGTGAGCTCAGTAATTTTCATCAGGCATGATGGGGATGTGATCTCTTGGGTTTTGGGGGTTTTTTTCTTCTTTTTTAAAAATTATATCTTTATTTCAGCCATTAAAGGAACTGAATTTTATGGTCACTTCTTTGCTTAAAAGGACTTTAAAATATTTCTTTTATAGAAATGTCACATTCTCTGTGAGAAGCCTAACTTTATTTGTCATTGCAGGGTCTGGACGAACAAATGGAAACATAGGCAGCTTATCAGAGGACAGTAATACTCAAGATTCAATACCCGGACTGGGGTTGGTTTGTACAGGGACTCCTTCACCAGTAGCCAAAAGAGGGAACATCCACTCCAGCCGTGGGCGGGGAAGGGGACGTCACCTACAGGAACTCTCACTATCCAGACGGAAAGCCAAATTAAAAGAAGTAAGAAAATGGCCAACGCAAATGTAATATTCATAAGAAAAGAAGACCATGGTAGACTGTTTTTGTAAGCTAAGCATCTAGATTTATGTTAAGTGGAACCAGCAATTTTCTGCCCATTTAAATCACTTATTACATTTGAAACTTCCAGGGGTTATATTTTTGTGCCATCTCAACTGTAAGTGGTCACAGGACTCGCTTAAACTAAAGTCACTTAAATCAGGGGTAGAAATAACCCATTGCCCGACGTCCCAATCCAGTGGGGTTTTTTTCTGTTGGGCAAGCAAATTTGTACATCACACTGTACCTGTGTCCAGTTGACTTTCAAATGTTAATTATGTTGTTTATATAAAAAATCAACAAGAAAATCGGCCAGTATGGTGAAAAAATTATCAGGGCAAGTGGTTTTACATGTGTCACTGTACCAGAGTACACTAGCAATTTTTAAAGTTATTTCCACGCCTGTAACTCTATACAGTTGTTGGGCATTTAATTAATCATGCATATTCAAATTCAATGAATGTCTCATGGACTCTAAAATAGATAAAAACAGGTCAACGTCTGCATGTGTCAGTTCAAACTAATGCCAATGTCAAACAAATTTTTCACACATGCTTCCAGAATAAAATGCAAAGGTGATAGTATTTTGCCTATTAAGTGACCTGAAGACAAGAGGCTGTGATGCTTAATATTTTTCGTCATCCAAATTGAACATTATGTGGAACCTAATTATCTGAGCCTTCTTATTCTTAATTTGATTTGACAGAAGACTATAATATATCTGAATGCATGGGGAATATGGTGGTGTCGGATGCTGCCGCTCATTGAGTTACATTAGTTCAGTGCTAAGATTCCCTGGCTATGTGGTGGAATCAGTTTCTCCCGTTTGATCATTCTCACCACCATTCAAATGCTCATGCTGTTGATCACTGGATTGTCTGGTCCAGTCGTGATTATTTACAGTCTGCCGTCATATAGCTGGAATATTGCTGAGTGGGGCGTTAAACAAACCAAAACAAATGCTTTTGGGCTTCACAAAATGGCAGTCACTTACATCATGTACAAATTTCTTCAAACATTTAGCATGACACTGTAATCACTTGTAAGTGAAATGAAATAATGTTGTGAGTAAGTATGGTTTTAGGCCGCTTTTAGCAATATTCCAGCAATATCACGGCGGGGGACACCAGAAATGGGCTTCACACATTGTGCCCATGTGGGGATTCGAACCCGGGTCTTCGGCGTGACGAGCAAACGCTTTAACCACTAGACTACCCCAAATAATGTTGTGTACTGTTAAAGATTAGTAAAGCCATATTTACACGAAAAGTCACAGGTAGTCACTGAATCTGCCATTTGTTTTACACATATCAAGTCTTGGAACTGAAACATGTTGAACAGTAAGAGATACTTCGGTGAAGATGATTTAGTTTGTTATGTGTCTTAAAAAACTGGAAAACTGTCTCCATCATACTATTTATCTTGGCCTGTATAGTTGACAAATTTCCTGCGGCACTTCATCAATGTTTACAAGGACTTCAGATTTTTTTTTCTTCTTCTAATTTCCAAACATTGATTGCCAGCTAAAATGTCCTTAAGATTGCTGGAGTGCAAATTGGCTCAAGCTAGCCCAAGCCATCTTGTTTGATTGGCAGTGATATCCAGAGCACCAGAAGGTTGTTTCTGTGGAAGTTCTTGAGATTTGCTCCTTTTCCACTTGAATCTAGGGACTGGGGAACATGTTCTCTGTCCACTGTCCATATGTATCTTGTTCAAAATATGTATGGACAGTGTTTTTGTTTCTTTTTTAAACCTGAGAAAAGATTGTTAACCAGTATTTTCAGTAGTATGGGATGGTGTGTGCGAATGAAACACAAAATAAAGTTCATTAAAACGTTTCTTATATTTCTGAATCCTACAAAGGGATATTTCTCTGCACTGTTGAAAAACAGTTCAATGTGACTGTCAAAGAAAGGAAATGTGAGTAAGGAGGCTATGATGTTTCATATTTTTCGTCATCCAAATTTTGAATGAGGAAACAAACTCACTGAGCCTTCAGATTCTCAAGGATAATTAAGCTTAAGTAGTTGAAAGCCTCTTGTCTATTTTACTTTAAGAGTTAAATCAAACTTTGCTCCCAACTTTTTTGTTGAACTGTAATATTTTCGAAGTACTATTGGACATCTCATGGATTTACCAGCCCTTTTGAAAGATGCCCAGTCTATGTTCTTTTTTGAGTTTCAAGAAACACAAGTTCCAAAACAAGGTTTTTGATAAACATTATCAAATCTCCAATTCTAAGTCCTTGAGTAATACAGAAATGCATCAGGTGATGAGATAGCTCTGATTGATCAACTGTCTTGGTGTTTCAGATTGTACGACAGTGTGAGGATGAGGATCTGATGGAGATTGTGTTACCCCGACTGGCCAAGGTGATCACGCTGTGGGAGTTCCTCCTCATGAAGGTGGAGAAGGGTTACCCGTCACGGCCACATGTTGATGACATTTACCGGGAGTTCGAGGCCCTCCACAAGCAGGTCCAAAAAGTCTGCCAACTCTATCTCAGTCCTCGCAACAAGGACAAGTCAGAATCTAACTCTACTCAGTCATTGCAGGTGTGTGGCAGGAACTGAATTAGTGAAAAAAAAATGTATTGTTTTGATTGACAAATTAAAACCAAAATTCAGGTACAATACCTCTGCATGAAAATCTGACCACACCTTCATATAAGGTCCGGTCAGGTTAACCTTATGGAAACTTGGACTGCCTTGTCAGTATGAGTGAGTGAGTGAGTTTAGTTTTACGCGCACTCAGCAATATTCCAGCTATATGGCGGCGGTCTGTAAATAATCGAGTCTGGATCAGACAATCCAGTGATCAACAGCATTAGCATTGATTTGCGCAATTGGGAACCGATGACATGTGTCAACCAAGCCAGTGAGCCTGATCACCCGATCCTGGTAGTCACCTCTTACGACAAGCGTGGGTTACTGAAGGTTCATTCTAACCCGGACCTTCACGGGTATCTGTCAGTATGAAGCATGTGTATCTTCTTGAAGCAGTGAGATGTCAGCTTTCTAAAATATCTCGATTTGAGACAGAAAAAACCCACAACATACAGTATTCCTTTTATGCATCTCTCCATTTGGGCACAGATGCCATGGTATGTACTTAAATATTTGCATATTCGGAAGTGCTTGCTTAGGGAATGTTCTCAAGATACAAAGATCGGATTTGCTGGTCTGAATGCTAAGTTTACTCAAAAGACTTTTCAAGCCTAATAGTATGACAGTTAACCTCAGGTGTCCTTAGATCTTCGTTTGGGAGTTACATTTACTGATTATCATTTTCTCCTGGGACCAGCATTGATAGTAGTGAAAAGTGATGATACGATAGTATAGACTTCAGAGTCAAGTTGGAACTGGTGATTCTTGTGCAACGAGAAAGTTCTTTCCTTCTAGTTCTAGTCTTGTGACTGAATCACGTGTGTTTCAGGTTGAGAATGTCCAGCTGGCTCAAGCCCTTGGCCTTGAAGTGGGGATGTTTGATGTGAAAGAGATGCCAGCAGAAGAAACCCCCACATTCCAGTTCAAACTAACACCAGAGACCATAGCCTCCCCTAGCAAACCGATGCCAGTCCGCCGCAAGATCCAGGTGACCACCCCCGACCAGACGCCTGGGCTGTCGGCTGCTAAACGCCCTAGGACAGTTTCTGTACTTTCGGACTCAAGTCCTGTTAAAAACAATAGTGCTACATCAACTTCAATTCTGAAAGGGACACAGAATGTTCAGTTCCGTGTGGTCTCTGCATCCTCACCGGCAGCTTCATTGACAACTCCTCACATAATTGCTGTGTCCAACCCCCACAGTGTAGGGATGGTCAACAACAACACTGCATCTGCCTCACGTTTTGTGACAGTTTCAAATCCCAACATGGTGACAGTTTCAAATCCCAACATAGTGACAGTTTCAAATCCAAACATAGTGACGGTGTCGAATCCCAACATTGTGACAGTGTCGAATCCCAATATTGTGACAGTGTCAAAGCCCAGTAACACAGCTTCTTCCGTTCCGCATGTCGTGGCTCTTTCAAATTCTAGTATTGTATCACACCCTCAGATATTGACTGTGTCAAATGCTAATGTGTCTGGTTCAAACATTACAACTGTTCAACCGAAGACGGTTGTGAGACCACCAGAATCAAGTGTTCAGACCACATCTCAGGTTGGAGGTGTCAGTAAATCTCATGAAATCCTTACCTCTCAGGCAGCTACTTCCACAATGCTATCCAGTAGTACAGAGACAGTTGTTGCTGTAGAGACAGATAGTGTGTCAGTTGCAGACACTATGAACCAGAACATTGTGTCTGCTGTCAACAGTGCTAACTTAGTAATGAACAGCAACGGCCCTGGTGTCAGTAGTGCTAGTAACAGCATTGAAAGTGCTCCCAATGGTGAACCTGTTACCCTCAGAACTATCCTTGTTAATGGTGGAGTGACGAATGATGGTGGTGTTAAACAGCTTCAGCCTCTTGTCCAGGAAGCCCTTCATACTAATATTCAGAATATTCAGGTGGTGGAAAGCCTGGAAGAAGCTCAGCAACTAATTCTTGCACAATCTCAAATGAATGGTGTCGACCCGTCTTCAAATATTGCCACCCTAGCTGAAGTCGTTCACAATGAATCTGAGTTTATTGAACAAACCATTGAAGGTGATGTGAAAAGAGAAATTGTTCTCAATCCTGTTGAAGCCAAATCTGAAGAAGTGGATCCTGGCGAGGTGCAAGGCCAGATTGTGAGTGCTGAGCAAATCGAGGGACAAGTGATAAGTCAAGATCAGATAGTGACTCATTCCAATATCTATCAGACAGAGGATGGTATATTAATCATACAGAATCCAGATGGAACCACGTTCCAGCTGCAGGGTGCTGAGGGCATACCGTTAGAGACAGTTCAGGCCTTACTGGCCATGGAGGGACAGTTTGAGGGTGGGGAGGCAGTTCAAGCTGAGCTTCAACAGTAGCATCTTGCATTGTTATCTCACTGCTTTTGCCAGAGTTCTTGTTCTGATGTAAGGAAAACTAACAGCAAACAAATTGTCATTGGAGAATAATTTTAACCTTTACAAATCCTCCAAATGATTTGTTCTACATTATTCTAAAGGTAATAGGATTTCTTTAATATCCAGCAGAAATATTGACATGCTTGAAACCAGGATATGTTTCCTCGCGTTTGTAATTGCCCCAATGTTTAGAGAAGTAACTTCCTTTCACTTGCAGTGTTTTGAATTGGTTAAAAGGCTAAAATGCAAATTTGTCCCTTTTGGGATTGATGGTTACCTTGTGGACAGTGTTGAAGTGGGTGCTGTGGAAGTAATGGAATATATGCACCTGGTTTTCATGAGATAAAGGGTGAAGAAGAAAAAGAAATATACTTGACATTACTCCATCCCACAATTTTTCCTTATCCTGACTCATGCTCTTTTGCTTGTCTTCTTCTTCTTGCTAACATAGTGGAACACTTGTATCTCCTTATTTGAAGCCCCTTCAAAATAAAATCACTAATTGGTACTCACCACGAAGTTGCTCCCTTTGTCTCCCTGGCGGAAAAGGTGTCGCCACCCTCTGGCCATGTGCTTCACTCTCCTTCTTCTTCTTCCAGTGAGCAGGATGTGAGAGCCTTGTGTCTCCTTACACACATATCCTTTGATAATCTCTTAGTTTTACCTCTCATAGGTTACTATAGAGGTATAGCTAGTATCCTTTACTATTTGTATTGATTAATTATCGTGATTTCTACTGTTTATTCACGCAGTATTCGCGATTGTTCAGCTAGCTTTACGCTCATGAAAATCTGTACGATTTGTAGATTACGCTTTTCTGCCTCCGATCCACATGTAATATGCCCTAGTTGTTCTACTGCGGTGCTTAATTCACGCTGCAGTTACTGCATTAATTTATCTCATTCTGCATTTAATAAATATCATCTTTATGCCTTTAAGACGCATGCTGCAGATAGATCACGCAAACAAGGGCAAAACATGGCAGAGAGTCCAGATATTCCTTCCAGTCAGCTGCTAGCGATCGACCCTCTCCGCCTGGTGTTCTGCTAGAGACCCCGCGCAGAGGAACGGGACGAGTCCGCTACTCAAGAAACGACCGCCTCCCCAGACATCCCGCCATTGCAGACTAAGTCTAAGAGGGCTCTCATCGCCGCCTCAACGCAGATTGAGGACACCCAGGGCAGCGCAGACTTCCAAAGGGAAATCTACGAAGACAGCAAGAACTTTCAGCCGAGATCGCTCCAGCAGCAGAGTTGGGCCTCTACGATGATCAGCCGATAATCATCCCCGACTTTACGCAGAAGAAGCGACCGTGTCAGCGACTGTGACTTCTGCAGAGATCTCCATGCAGCCTGATGCCTCTCTACACCGACGCCAGACGCCATTGATGTGAACCCCATCGCAGAAAAGACGCCGACGACTTCCACATTCGCCACAGATCATCCCAGAAGACATGATGCGCAGATTATGAACATCATGGAGGACCACTACAAACTGCGCAGCAGGGTCCGAAAGCCTTCGCTGGCTCCAACGTGACAGCACCCCAGAGGCACCCCCGCCAACGAAGCAGCCAAGACGATGTCACCTTCGCTGGCGGAAGTCCCGCACCACCTTGACGGCGACCTAGATGTACAGCTCTTCGCTGGCGGCCTTCGCGGCGGAGAGATCATCACCATCTTCGATTTCATCTCTAGATATGGACTCAGACCATCAGACATCACGGAAGCCTTCGCTGGTCTGTCATATCATCGATCCTCGACCGACGCGAATGAAGCTTCGCTGGCGGCATTCGCGAAAAAGACATATGATTCCAGATCTTCATCGCCTAGAAGAACATCGAGGGACTGCCGAAGAGCTTCGCTGGCTATCAACATTCACCTCACAAGTCTCCGAAGATCATCCCATAGACGATCTCCACTGCTCATCACCAGGTCGATCACCCATCAGATCTCCACATAGAGCGCGACAAGTCAACTAGATCGCCACAAACCTCATCAGATATTCAGACAGCTACACGCAGTCCCGGCGAGCATCTACAATTTATTAATGATGATGGTTTTGAGGATGATGGAGGAATCATATTTTCTGATGCAGAGATACGGTATTGATGGTCAATAACCTAGATCTCACATCACCATCTAAAAGTGGCAATACAGCTCAGACGATTTGATGAAGGAAGATGATCCAGATGCAATCACTTCTACCCCCGACGACCTCGATTATGCAGTGCCACAGAATCTAGATGCAGCTTTCCAGAAAGCTACGAAAAGTTCAGATACCACATCTACCCAACTTTCAAGCCAAGAAGTTCTCCACGATAACATGGACTCCTTCTACAAGGCCCAGGACATCGATGAGAACTATAAGATCATCAGCTTATGTAAAGAACAAGATTTACAAGATGGATGATCGCAAGTTGGCTCATATAGAAACCATGACGAGACGATGTTCTTTTGGGTTAAATAGATCTAGGACGATCAATGAGACTCTTATTACTAGATTCCGGATTCCACGACGGAAGATGATAGAATGATTTATTCTGCCTTACTTATGCAAAAGAAAGATCAGCAGTTTTAACGGATCATCTTACATCTGTTTCAGCAGCATTGACCTTAGCTCGTCGCCAAGGCCTCCTCGCCTCCTGTAATTGGGGAGAACTTTACAGCCCCACTTTATACAGCCCCGCGGTCGACAACATCCATCTTTGACGGAGAAATCGACAAGGTCGCCAAGGAAGTCTCTAAGGATTCCAGGGAAGTCCTTATGATTAGATCGATGGACACACTAGCCAGCGCCATTCGGCCAGACTTCACAAAGATACTCAGGCAGATCTAAGTTCACGGGCCTACAAAGAGCAAGAGACAGGAAGATAGCCAGCTCTAGAGGTAAGATTCTTTCGTCGCCCATATGGCAACTATAGAGGAGGATCAGGAAGAGGCAGGACACCCAGAGGTTCCCGCAATTATAGACGCTGAAACACAGGTTCGAACGACTGGAGTCTTCCACCCCAGCCGCTCCAGTACAACCAGCTCAAGTGGGTGGACGCCCAACTACACTGGGAAAACTGGGGAATACTGCAAGATCCTTACGCCTCCAACATTATTCAACACGGATTTCAGATCCCTACAGGACAAGCCTCCGCTGACAATCAAACCCCCAAGTTCGATTTATAAGCTTAACAACTACCAAAGATAAAAGAGGCTGTCTCATCACTCCTATCCAAACAGGCCATAGAAGTAATAGATCAAGCAAACGCCGAACCAGGTTTCTACTCCCCAGTTTTCCTAGTTCCCAAGAAAACTCCACGGAGAAATACAGACTCATCTACAACATGAGCTTTTTCAACAAGAACTATCTACGCAAACCAATCGGTTTCGCGATGATACATTTACCTCAGTTACGCCAGATGATTCGGCCCTATGGACTACATGGGCAGCATAGATCTACAGGATGCCTACTTGCACATCCCCATTCATCCCGATTCCAGGAAATACCTACGATTTACTCTAGAAGGGCTACATTACCAGTGGAAAGTACTCCCATTCGAATATCATCAGCCCCTGGCTATTCACGAGGATAACGAAACCGATTATCAAATTTCTACATCGCCAAGGGCTACGAGCGCTTTTACCTCGACGACGGGATACAAGTAGATCAAGATCCACTGCGCCTCAAACTACAGTTAAATTACATCATAAAGCTACTAACACAACTAGGTTGGTTAGTAAACTTACGCAAGTCGGACCTAGTACCATCGCAAGACCTACAGTTCCTAGGTATTCGATTCATCACAAATCGCAACCGTATTATGGTACCAGAAGACCGCTATTCAAGATACAACAGACCATTCCACCAGCTCTACTCTCCGCTACTACTCTGCGACAATGGCAGAGCCTACTAGGTCTTCTCACATCAGCCCAAGACATGACTGTCACAGGCAGATTACAGTTACGCCCCCTACAGGTCTCATCAACGACATCTCAACGATGTACAACCATTCAGTCTACCGAAACATCTCAGACCACATCTACTATGGTGGACCAAGAAATCGAATGTCTGCGAAGGGATTTGTTTAGCAGAGCAGGAATACAAACCCATCTGTATGTAGACGCTGTTACCCCAAGGTTGGGGAGCTCATCTCACCAACCACACGATATCAGGGTTATGGAATCAGCAAGAATGCAAACTCCATATAAACAGTCTAGAAATGAAAGCTGTAATCAACGCCATTCTACATTGGAGCACATTTCTACAAAATGCTACTTAATGATCCATACAGACAATTCGACAGTGGCGCTTCTACATAAACAAGCAAGGCTCAACGAGATCGATGAACCTTTTGAACCTAAGCTTTCAACTGTTCGATTTAATACAAGATCTAAATCTACATGTCAAAGCAGTGCACATTCCCGAGCCAGAAATATACTAGCAGACGCCTCTCGCCTCATCTACCATCACCGACAGAGTGGATGATCAACCGGGAAATTTTTGCACAGATAATCAAGCAATTAGGAGCCGCTAATAGACCTATTCGCCACGCCGATTCAACAATCAGCTACCGACATTCGTGGTCACCAGTCCCAGACCCCCAAGCTTGGGCAACGGACGCCTAAGTCTATCATGGAAGGCCTCACGCGCACGCTGCTTCACCAGCCAGCAATAATACCTCAAGTATTACAGAAAATCAGACAAACACAGAGCCTACAACTCACTTTGGTCGCTCTACTGGTCGGGCCAGAACGTGGTTTCCCATACTAATTCAAGAAATCGGTCAACCAACACTGGAGCTACCTAAGCGCCAAGAAACCTGTTAATTCATCCTCACACCAAACAAGTGCACGGAAACCCAGCAATGTTCCAACTACACGTATGGACTGTATACAAATGTGTTTAAACAAGAGAGGATATTCTGCCAGGGCGCAAAAGCAGTCACGCTTTGCCTTATCGCTATTCAACTCGTGAACTTGTACGACGACAAGTGGCACAGTTTCAAAATTATGCAACAAAGAAAGGGTTTACAGCAAGAGAGGCTTCACAACCTCAAGTGGCAGACTATTTGTGTTACCTACGCCAAAACAAACATTTAAAAGGTTCAACGATATCAACATATCTTGCCGCTTTAGCTCTGTAATCACCATGAGAACGGGTGTCAAATTGACAAGATCTCCAGAGTTACTGGCCTTACTACGAAGCTTCCGATTGAGGACCAAAAGCGAAGTTCCACTTCCAGCTTGGGATCTGAATGTAGTGTTACAACACCTCACGAAAGTGAGGTCTATGAACCCTTGAATCGACAAACTTTGAATTTCTCTCACAGAAAACATTGTTTCTGCTATCGCTAGCCACAGCAGCAAGAATGTCTG